ATACACTCCACATAGTATTCTTTCTCTAAAACAAGCAAGAATTGCAAACACCTAAAATAACATGCAGTTTAGTCCCTGCATGTTATACTTTGAAGGGAAAAATGTTAATAATACTACAGCTCCTGTAGTATCTCCTTAAGCGAATCAATTATTCTGACCTTCTGCTATACTTGCTTGATATTAAGCCATTCTTGCATCCAGGATAAATGCTACTGTGCTTTACATTTGCTGGAATACGCAAAAGGATTATGGCCTGCTTGCTCTAGATAATAGATCAACTGGCAGTCAGTAAGTCTTACTGCATTTATATAAAAAATGCTTTAGTGAGTGCATTTAAGATAGAAGAGATTTTCTTTTAATGCTAATTCACAGCAACAATGAAGAGCAGGCCTGTCTCATTTGGGTGATTCAGTGGTACACCCGATGTAGGAAAAAATAATCATGTAATGTTTGATTGTTACAAGGCTGCATGTTTTTCACTGCCTCTAGACTTTTTTTTTCCTGCAAAGAGCTCATTGCCTCTGAACTCTGCAGTTCCTCCTTGTCATCGCCTCCTCCTTCCTGCGGCACAGTTTTTTTCTTTTTTCTCTTTTTTTTTCTTCTTCATGCAGCCTTCTCCTGTTTCCTGGGTCTGAAGACTCCAGCTGCTCTTGACCATGACGTAAGAGCAGAGTCTCTTCCTTCCCACTTGCACTGCATATAAGAATTCCATTAGCTTAACACCTTAGGGACTGAATCTCTAAGATTTCTGGAAAACCCTTGTATTCAAAACATATTTTGAAGCATTTCTATTGTCCGTTGTTTGTTTTTAGTTCTTTGCAGCACCTTGTGTGTCCTGAGATTAAAACTCCTATAATCCTTCCTGATTATTTCTATTCAGTTATAATACCAGTTGTCTGAATATTATGGTATTTACACTTAAGAGGAAAAGCAAATGCATTCCTGATGCTTTCACAGGGATGATATGCTGAAATAACTATTCTATAACTATTCTTTATGTCATCTTTGAAATAAAGATCCTGAGAAGAACATGTCATGAAAGATACAGTACAGTATGTTCATATAAAGTTTGAGAAGGTATGTGTTCTCAAAAACTAGTCCTGTGCCATTTGTTTCCAACTGGGAGATTCTGTTACAAGGCTAAAATGGTACTGGATAGAACCCGCATTGTAATTCGAGTAGATGTGTTGCTATTCAGTCTGCTTTTCAGACCTTGTTTGCCTGGACTCAGTGGTTCCGTGACCAGAAATATAGCCTCCTTGTGTTAAATTCCCTCTCCGAGACTTGATCTTGTGGCCCTGAATCATGCCACTGTCGGGCTTGCACAGGCTACGTTTTGACCAGAGCCCAGAGCCCAGAGTGTTGACTGACTTTGTTGCTGCTGAGAAAAACTGACACGGATGTGACCCCTGTGAATATTGTTGAAGAGCAGCTGGGGAAAAATGCTTGTGAAAATGCTGCCTTTGTGACCTTTATGCTTCCTTTCCTTTAAAAAACTGACTGACACAGACCTATTAAACTTGAAACCCATCATGTTTCAAAAACTGTGAGCGTATAAAAAAAAACAGCTAGCTTACAGTATAACAGAAGCATTATCAAACGTTTGTCTTTCATTAACGGTTTATCGGAGTGGGAGATTTCTGCCCCTCAAGTGCCTCACCCTTTTTCCAACGCAGTTGAATGCTACAACTGGTGTTTATCCAACCTGCTTTCGTTAAATGTCTTTTAACTGCCATTAGCTGTCTGGTGTAGTATGTGCTTGCAACAAGAGGCAACAAACCTTTTTTTCCATGGAGTTGGGTTTGTCAGTGTTGAGTCAAACCTCTAACTCTCTGCATGCTTCCACACAGGATACTACAAAATAGACCCTTGAAACTGATAGCTTACAGATGGAGTGCTATCTTTCCGTCATGCATGATATATCATTACCTTATATGTCCCATTAAAGCAGCTGAGGCAATTTTAGTGCTTGTCGTTGAACCAAAAAGCAGCGATTGCTGCCTGACGAAGGCAGAAGTGTTGATATGGAAAATGTCTCCCCTATGGAAGAACACTGACCTGCAACAGGCACACAAACTCAAAATATTAAAGCAACCAAGTACAAAAAAGAACAGGGGATGTCCCCTTTTTGAACCTTGAGGCACATCTGTTTCTAGCTTGATTCATGGTTCTTGAATCAATTGTTTTAAATTGTGTAGGCTCATTTATAAGCAACAGCTTACAAGTGTTACAAGAATTAGTTGTTTAAATGTACTGCAGGCTTTACTTCCTTGTTTGTCTGCGTATGTTTCTTGTTTCTGAGCATGTTGCTTTCAGAAAAACGTAGATATTGCCAATATCTAATGGACATGCCAAGAAATGGAATATGGCGTTTTTGCTTATTATTGATTTTCTTGCATTAAACTACATGCAGAAGTTAAGATTTGTAATGGGAACTATACTCAAACATACTGGTTACATAATATTTCAGAAATTATTATACTTTTGTGACAGATTACTTCAGAGCTTATTTGATGTTATTATTGAAGTATGTTGCATTGACATGGTGGATCCATTGCATAAATATGATGCTGTATTATCCATCCATCCATTTTCTAACCACCGTTTCAAGTTCAGGGTCATGGGGGAGCTGGCAAGCAATGGGCACAAGGCTGGGCACAGCCTGGGTGGGATGCCAGCCCATCGCGGGGCACAGACACAGTCATGCATACACCCACACCAGGGTGAATCTTCCCAAAGGCCAATTAACATACTGTACCAGTATGTCTTGGGACTGTGGGTGTAAACCAGAGCCTGCAGAGGAAAAACATGAGAACACTGGGAGACTATACAAGCCCAGAGACCCAGCACTGTGAGACAACAGTGCTTACCAGTGCGCCCACACTGTTTTATATAATATACTACAACAGTATAATAAACTGCATTATAATATTAAAGTTTAAGGTTCAAAAAGAGGGACGTGCCCAGGTTTATTACTTGGTTGCGTGAATATTTTTAGTTCTTGTGTGTGTTGCAGGTCAGTATTATAGTTTCTAGTTTCCATGGGCCATACAGTCTTATTCAGTAGGTCATGAGTAGTACACTACTGTATTTAGTTTACTCTATTTTATGTTTTCTTGTCTGATGACTGATTGTGCTAAAGGAAAACTATGTAAACCCCATCCATTCCTGACAATCCTGTTCATAATGTGATGCAGCCCACTGTGAATGAGAATGGAGATCAAGTTGCACAAGTGCAGAAGTGGCAGAATTAAGACTTCCATAAGCCCAGAATGCTGCAGAAATGCAAATCGCCATTAATGTCACAGCAGCCATTTTAACATTTTCCATTGCAGACCAAACTTATTATTTTAAGTTGTTTTTTTTCACAGACTGGAAGATGGTAAAGTGTTATCAGCCATAAAGTAAAATATATGCAAGTAATGACTATGGTTTTAAGATTCCTTTTTCTGTTTGAAAATAAGCAGATTATTGATTCAGGGAATGAACATGAGATTCTTTACTGTAGCACAGAGTAGACCACTTATGTGGGCAAACCGGTATGTACAGTATGGATTACGTGTGTTCTTCAGGCAGGAGCTGTACATACTTATATCTGTGATGTGTACTGTAAATGTGGGAATGATTAATCTTTCAAATGTTTGACCTCTTGCCTTTCGCTGACCTCAGAAAGACTTTCTAATCCCCCTGTTCAGTGTGAGCAAAACTTTTTGACACACACACTGTAAACACAGGGCTTCCAGGCTTCTTCCCACTTCTCTTTTAATTGTAGTCCTGCATTTCCACAGACTCCAGGGAGCAGCTGTGAAGATGAAGCTTAGCAGGGTTTAATTTTCCTGAGAACAAAGTGTAGTGGGATTTCACAACAAAGAGAGTTCTTAAAGTAACCTTAGGTGCAGTTTTGACCTAATCAGTATATGCAAAATAACTATACTGTCATGCTGCAGGCTTTAGAGAGTGAATAGTAAATGCTGTGAATGTATATTTGAAGAAAATAGAAGACTTGAAACTGTCAGACTTTTAGAAGAGTCAAATTAAATATAGTGTAGCAGTTGTTAAAGTTTCCAATTAGTGGAAGCCTATGTTGATTAATTGTAAGGTCAGTTTTCTTCCTCAGAATTTTATAGTAGGCAGGTATACTGGGCTACACTGGTGGGTCACATATAGGAAAAATATTCCAAAATTGTCTTATGAACTGCTATAGTGATTGATTTCATAGCTGTCATATTATGTTAATCATGCATCATATAAATGCCCCAATCATTTTTAACCCAAATAATTTTTGGGTCATTTCCATTTTCTGGAAACATGGCCAGTCACACTGTTTGACCAATTAACTCCTGCCTCCCATGCTTCTATCCCCAATAAGGTGAAAATGTGCGAAAATAGGGGTCCTGTTTGAAGCAAGATGATCACCTGATGCCCATTTATTTTTTTCCATTGTTGAAACAAGCCCTAACAGAAGCAAAAAGGGGGGAAATTTCCAGGAGCATGAATAGTTTAACCAGCAATGTACATGCTCAACAAGTAGAATCTTGTAATAGGTTTATTCCATGCTGAAAAAAAGAAGAAAGAGAACACAACGTTTCGGCCGTGGAGCGTTCTTCAGGTGTCAGTAGAATCTTGTATCTATCAGAGTTTTGTGTTTTTGAACTGCTGTAGTAAACGTCTAATCTTGTGATAATGACACACTAGTTTTTCTGTTCAGGAGGGAAATTACAAATATTTTACACTAGAATTTTTATTTTCTAAATAATAAGAAAGTTTCAAATGCAAAATTAAACAATAAAGAAGGCAAATACTCCAACAGTCACACGAAACTAATCTGTGCAAAACGTAGATTCAAATGTTGCTATTGTATAGACAAAAGCCATGACAAAATAAATTACATCATCCCTGAAGCTTATTGTATTAGAATTAGAGTTTTTTTCCTGTAACTGTCCTCTTACGTTCCTACTGTATGTCTTACCTTTTTTGTCTGTTTTTGTTTTGTCTGACAGTTGCAGACCGACAGGGCTGTGATCCTCAGACTCATTTCATTGTCCCACCCAAAACAACACACTGGATCGCACTGCTCCAGAGAGGAAACTGCACCTTCAAGGAGAAAATTCTGAGAGCAACCTCCTTCAATGCCTCTGGCGTAGTCATCTACAACAACTCATCCAAGGAGGACACAGTGACCATGGCACATGAAGGTAGGCACAAGTCAATGACAAAACTGTTCTGTACCGCCCTGTTAACCACTGTTTCTTTTTAAATAACATTAGCAAGGAATTAAGTAATATAGTGAATTAAGGAAGGAATTAGGTAAGTGTTTTAGAAATAGAAGGGATGCCACAGCACTAGCTATTCTTAGTTTAACATCTAGTTATAAAAAAGTTTTTTTTATGAATAGAAAGCATGTACTGTAAGTGTAATTGTGCTTTAATTATCACTATCTGCTCAATTTATCGTTTTATACTGAATGTAGTAGTAGTTTGATGCTGTTAGCAGCACTGACCACTGCAGTACGAATCTCCTGAGCAGCTCAAGGACGTGTTACAAGCCTAGCCACATAGCCCTGGGATGCTGGAATTGAGCCATTTTAGTATTAACAATATCAAATTACACTGCAGTACAGATAATGGTTCTAACCACTTGCCTATAAACCATATAATTGTGCAGAAGTGTCATACTGTTCTTGTATTTAATGTTAAACATACTAGTAAAGAAACAGTGTCTTATATTTTGTAGTTCTGCACTAGCGTACTGCATCCACATAAGAACAAGGCCTTTTTATCAACGAACGTGTTGCAAGATTGTGTGGCAAAGTGGCCATTCATTAACATTTTTATAAGGTTATTTCAGGAGTAGCAGTTGAAATTGAAATAGATGTTGCATGAATCTTCATTTATGGACTAAATTGCTTTAAACATTTATAGCTTTCAAATGATAGAGTCAGCAGATTTGTTTTTACTTGTATTTCAATTAGTGAAAAGTTAAATGTTTCAATGTTATTGTAAGAGTTAACCGTTATTCTACAGGCTGACAAATGATCAAGGTTTAGCTGCAGGATATTATTAATATTTACAAGAGTTGCAGGATTTTTTCTAGTAATTTAATTTTCTCTTATACTGTCTTAGTACTGTATTTCTAGGTTTATTGCTCTGAAAAGTGCTTTATCTTTACAATGTCAGCATCATTTATATTATTCCTACAGATTAGTTTGAACAATTGCTATCAAACTCATTTTTTAGATGCTCCCATGTTTTTGCAACACCTGTCCATAAGTAACTGTGAAAACAAATTCAGAAGAAGTAGACTTGGGCTGGGGAAATCTGTTGGTGAACTGAGAAAACAGTGTAGTGTAAAATAAAGCCTTTTTCCTTGCCATTTTCTATAGATAGTTCTGCAGAAAGGTCACCATCAAGTTGGTTTTTGGTCTCTGTGATTTCCCCTGCGTTGTTTTTATCTTCTATCTTTTTTTCACTACTGTCAAGAAGAAGTGTTACAAGTTCTGCTGTTATAACTATGCTGTTTGTGTTGTAGAATCAAAGCACCTACAGTAAGTGTGTTGCACTGAAAGAATGAAATGTAGGGACTGAACAAAGCTGCAACCATTACATGAAAAATTGTTTTTTTTTCATCTGTGGGAAGCAAGTGAGTCATGACTTTCCTGTCACAATCAGACCGACGGAAATTTAAATATAGAAATGTCTGTGGGTATTTTATTTGGCCATTTTCTGTGTTGAAGTTTCTGTATTGAAAGTTCTTTCTTTTAATGTGCATCTTTTTATTTTCTGCAAACTTTAAATATGTAGTCAGTATCTTTTTGCATGAATGGAGAGGAGGGATAACCAGTCTGGTGGAGAATGTCTGGTGAGTCAGTTGATAGAGAAATTTACAGGGGATATAGTGAGAGATGAGGGACTGGAGAATTCTTCAAGTAGTCTCACTTGATTTGACATGATTTGTGTCCTCCTGACATCATCATTAGTTTTCACCTGTGACTCCAAACAAACTGAACCACACTTGAATTTATACCAAATGCTCAAATGAACTTGGTGTGAAAGGACCACTCATGATCCTTGCAGGTCCCTCTTGTTAAAAACTTTCTAATGTAAAGGCAGCAAGAATATATTTTCTCTTAAGCATGGTCTCAAGAAGTATATGACCATGGACTCGTTGTGTGAGCATATATTGCCCATTTTAAGGTCCGACAGCACCTACTTATTGGCACAAAGTCTCCAACCACAAAAACGTTAGACTGGGGCACAGATCTCTTCCTTCTGTTTGGCAAAATTACAGTCAAACTAGAAGAAAAAGATTAAAATTTAACAATGTTAACACTTTTGCATGGAAAAAAAGCTTAATAGTGACACCAGTACTCTTGAGTTAAATTAATTACCATGGTAAATCCTGAAAGAACTATTTGGAAGAAAGCTGATGTTGATCTTGCTGCTTGCTTTTACTGCAATATGTGGTGGGTGAATACAAACTTGCCCCTAGGGTAGGGGAGGGCAGTCTCAGCTCTTTAGTGCACACCATTTATTTTCAGACTTTGATCCAGCCAGTACTTCAGTTTTTGAAATGATCCTTAACTTCTTAATAAGTCACACTTCAGAAGATTAAGGATTAGATAGAATAAAAACTTGCCAATGCAATATAAGACAGAATGTTGCTTGATTTTGCGCATGCATAAATTTGAATGTGGGCATTGATTCTTTAAATCCACAGCTTTCTCTGTTTTGATTCCTCTGAAACTATTTTGGAAAAAGCTGAAGAAAAACTCAATATGGTCACAGTTGTGATAAGAAGCTGGTAGACTATTGATATGTCAAAAAGAAATCAGATTTTGCCTGCTGAAATGAAGGTTTTCCTGCCGAGCAGTTCTTGTCTGTTTCCTGAGCCATTTAATCACTGATAGAGTGCATCTGTATAAATGTCATTTTGATAAGCGCTAGGGGTTTAAAGCTGTTTTGTATTTTTTTTATTTGTTCTTCTTTTTTTTACTGAAGGGGTTGTTGTTATTATGGAAAATGTTTATACTTCTGCTTCCCTAAAAGTGACATTTCATTGCTTTTGATACGTTTACAGCCTAATGAAGAACACTTTTCTTTTTATTAAGTTTTCGGTGGAAATTCAATATAGATATAAGCCTTAGGCTGATAAAGTGTGATGTTGTCATTTCTTAAATGACAGTTAAACAGCTAGTTGTTGTTTTGTGCTTTTTTCACCTGTGGTCCAGTCTGTGTTGATTTGCTTTACTACATGTAATTGGAGAGCCCCCTGATGTTGTCAGACTTGCTGTGCTATAATAATTCCTGAAAATGTTAGGTGAAATCAGATTTGAAGCCTCCACTTCTACAAAAGAGGCACCATAGCAGTTGTGATTAAGTTTAGTAATGATAATAATTTAAAACAGTGTGTTGTGTTAATGCTTTTGTTTATTCTGCCATTTTATTTCATCAACAGTTCCTGCAGATTGTGTTTTGCAACCAACTGTGATAGCAACGCTCACTACGTACAGTACTTATGTATTTTAGATAAGTTATTATTATGAAAAAAATAGGTTGTCACACTGGGTATCATCACCATTTCGCAGGGCTCGTGGCCTGGGTTCGTTTCCTAGCTGCTATCTGTGTGGAGTTGGTATGTTCTTCCAGTGTTTGTGTGGGTTTTTGCCGGGTGCTCTGGTTTCCTCCCAAAGAATTGAACTTGTAGGTTAATTGTCTTCTGGTGAATTTGGGTCTGGCGTGAGAGAGTGTGTGTCTGTTCTGTGTGTACTCTGCAGTAGACTGGCATCCTGTCTGGACTGTACCCTGCCTTGCATCCATTGCTTGCCAGGGTAGGCTTCTGGATACTGGATAAAACAGTTAGAAAATGAATGGAGAGATGAAAAGCAAACTATAAATATCTCTCATTTGGCTTTAACAAGTGTAAAAGTGAAAAGGGTAAGGTGTCTTCAAACTTTTGAAATCAACATTGCCTGCTATGAACTCTATGACCCGGTAAATATCCACACAAGACTTGCATAATCCTAATGACAAACTAAAGTGACAGTACCAAGGTTTTTGTTTCTAGTGCAGCCCTTTTCACCCTTCTCTCGCCAAGCAAATTAACTCAGCAGCCGGTGTAAGGTCATATCAGTTAAGACTTTGATAAATATTGGTATCCTGTTTGTTCAGCATTTTTTTAATCTTCAGCTGACACAGATTTGAAATACAATCAGTTGACAGTATTTGGTAAACAATTACTGTTTTTTTATATTCCAGAACCCTTGCAGCAAGTTTATATGAGAATTTGGGGAGCAATATTATTTAGAGCACTCATTGGTACATGGTGGGAGAGGAATATGTTTATAATTATCTGTAAACGTAAAGACTAAAATTGGCTTCAGTGTCAAGCATATGATTATTGAAGAAACTATTAGCTGTTAAGACACGTTTGACCTACTTGCATTCTTTTTTAAATGCTGGGTAAGTAAAAGCAGATGTCATGGCATTTTCCTGTTTTGGTGCTGTAACTGGAGCTGCTCCGGTGATGTTGAAGAACCAGATAAGCTCCCATTTCCTTTTCTTACTTCTGTTTTGAACACACAATTATTTATTTTAATGCAAATAAAAGTTTTTTTCTTCACTGTATTCAGTGATTCATAAGCCTGTTCAACTGGATTATTTGTTTAGAGAAGTTCCTTCAGAATTGGTTGTTGTAAGGTTTCATTTCTACAGCATGAAAGCTCACCTTTGCCTCTCATTAAGTTGGACTAATGCAGGGAAACATAAGACACCTTTTTTTAGCACTGACCTCTATGTTTGAGGCATTGTGGAGCTGTGTCAAAAATGAATGGCTATACAGGTGGGCATGATGGAGGAATGTGTCTGCATATCTTAATTTACTTCTGAGCAGGTGTAGGAGTCACTGCCAGAGAACAAAGTTCAGACTGGATAGATATATACAGTAGTAAACAATAGTGAATCCCAGATGTTTTTAAAACCAAAATAAGTTTTTTTAATAGCAATAGAGTGATGACAGTAAAATTATTTATCTTTTGCATACTTTTGACATGGTGCTGACATTTGTGTTTGTCTGAAAGCTTTGCAAACAGAATTGAAAAAGTAGCAAACATTTTTGTTGCTTTTTTTCCCATTTTTCCAGAGGATTTTTTAGTTTTAATAAATTACTGGAATTTTCTAACATTAAAAATGATGTCTTGAAAATGTGAGTAGCATTTTTTGCTTCTTTTTTAATGTAATTGCTGCTCATTGCTGTTTATTAAATTTTACACTGCTGAAACCTGTTTTAAAAGCAGGTTGTTTGAGTTGTTAGTGTTTTTGCATTAGTGGTACCTTTAATGCACGTTTGAAGCTGTGGATTAAATTCAGTAGATTCTGTAAGATGCTGCTCTGGTTCCAGCTAATTATGAGTTGTATTGCCCTTGCTTTGATTACAGGCTGTATATTAGATACATAGTCTGGTCATATTTGCTACCACCAATATATAAAATACTATACAAAAAAGAGTGCCAGATCAACTACTGTATACTGTATAGCCTAAAACATAATGCTTCTTATGACTTTGTCCAGTACTAAACAATACTGTAAATCCTTCTAGGCCATCAGAAAGTAGAATAAGCGGTTATATTTTGTATTGTAAGACATTGAGTCCAAGTGGTCAGAGTGGATAGGCTTGTTGACATAACAGTATAAACAGATGTATTTTCATAAAGCACAGTTAAGATTTTAGGCTATTTATGCAGCAGAGAATTTTACTGGCATCATTTTAGTGCAGAACTTCACTGCATAAATAGCACTCCAGTATCTCACTTGTGATTTGCACCCATTTACTTCATTAGTTCCCAGCCCCTATAAACACGACCCCAAACTGCAGCCCCTAGGCAGTAATTCTTTAATAAACAAGTAATTCAGCAGGAATTCAAATGAAAATGATAGCCTGTTTGTCCACACACATATCCATCTTTTATTACTAAATGTTAATTTAACTCAAACAGATGTTAAATTTCTTGATTTGATCTGGCTGTGTGGTTTGTACCCTTTTGAATCCATTAATCTGTCCTTCGGTAACTGAGCAGAATCCAATTTTATTTCACAAAACTAAAAATCTGTGACCATAAGTGCTGATTTCTCTGTGAGTGAAATGTATTAAATATGGTACAAGAAAGCCTAGGAATTCAGAGCCCGTTAAGGGAAATGCTGTAAGAAAAAGTCCACTTGAGGCTAATTGTCTTTAATAGCAGTTTCAGCACGGCCTGGTTGTTGATATTCCCCGAGCACCAAACCCTGCTGTGAAACAGCTATACATTTGTGAAAGGCTTACACTCCGAGTGTCATACCAAGGACATTGTGCATCAATAAATCACAAGGCATAGGATGTGATTCTCTCTGATTTACTGTGCTGAAGCATGCCTCTTAATGCCAGATGGTTTAACTTCCATTTTTTAGAAGTTCCTGCTACTGTACATACACTGTATAGGTTTTGTGTCCATGTTGAGAAACCATTCATTTGACTGTAATATAGATCTGTGGACAGGTAATTCCCCTAAAGAGCTTTGCAGATTTTCTGCTTAATTAGAACCCTGTGAGTATTTGGATGCATAGGACTTCATTTTAGTTTGTATTTTATATTTTACCTACTAGAAATATGAAGTGATGACCATTTCATTGTTAATGTGATGGATATGAAACTTTTTTTTTATTTCTTATTAGATTATATTGCTTAATGTACAAGTGTAATTATTATAATATAGTATTTAGACTGATTTGTGTTAATTTAACAATTACAGGGTAACTCATGCTTCAAAAAAAATTGGAAACTTTGAATGCTTAGATCAGAGTGTGGGGACAGAGAAAAAATATTTTTTGTGGAGGGACAAGAGATGTATTTCTCAGTGTCATTATGTTGCATGTTGATGGGCAGCCCAATGTTTAAATTTCCCATCTAAAGCACTCTTTCCTAAAAGGATAAGACAAAGGGCACTCTGTGTATTTTCATAAACTCCCTTTACCTGACAGTCTTGCTTGAGGCAGTAATAATGGCCAAGGATCCTTGGTTAAATCAGCTCTCTTAGATCACATGGAGAAAAGAGAGGATAACCAGCTCATACAGAGCAAGGGGAAGAAACACAGTAGGAGAACACAAAGCAACTTCATTCTGAAAGAGTGTTTTTCCAACATTTCAAGAAACCAGAATCTGTTAGGTAATGTGAGCATTAAAAGAGAACCAGATCACACAGTAGATCTTCATCTAGGGACATGTTGTCTTAGTATTTATGAAAAGGCATATTTTTTATTTGTGTTACCTTTAAAGCGAAAATAACTATGGGAGCATAAAGGTTCTCATTTGTTTAAGAAATTCTTGTTGTGTTCTAGAAAGTGAAGAAGCTTGTTTATGTGGTGAAACAGGGGTTTCTTCTCACTCTTTCCCCATTTATTGTATTTCTGTCTTCAGGAAAAGTTCTGTTTTTCTGTGTGTTGAAGGCAGATCTTTAAAAATCAGCACATACTGTAGCTGTGAGAATCTTGCATGTTGTGTAATTCTGTAGTAAATAATATAACACAATATCATAATAAATATTTGTCCTGTTTATGATTTCTGCACATTTATATATCCTCCATGTTCTCGAGAATATAAGAAACATGCTGGTGGTGTACATTTTTATTATTTGATTGCACAGCAAGCTGGTGTTAGGACCTGGTATTAATTATACTATATATTCTGCATTCATGTTTTCTTATTTATTTAAATAGTCCAACTTCTTTAATTTTTTAAACCAATTATTTATCTGTATAGAAAACTGTGCCTCACACGTCTTGTATGAATCCATCATACAAATAATTTGTTAGGGTCTCTGCAAGAAGTCTTTATTTAGCTTACACCAAGAATAACGCCTTCGCAGCAGCCTTGCTCATAAAATGCCAGTATCAAAACAGCATCTTTCATCAATGATATAAGAGATGTTTCTTGTCTGTTACTAGACACTGTTTCTTTTTTCCTGCCGATATTCTTCTGTATAAAACCAAAACTTCCTGACTCAGGAAAAAGTGATGTATATACTCTATAAATGTACATCATTCTTATTATTCACATGGTAAACTGTTTTTGGTACTAATGAAAAATGCATAAAGGGAATCAAAGTTATAGATGTGAAGTCTGCAGTAACCTGACTCTACTGCTAGCAGTCCAGGGCAGTTTGTCTTGAACTTGGATATCTTTACGATAATATTGCGGTCAACTCAATTTCACCTTTAGCAACTAAAATCATACAGTGTGGCCCAAGGCTGATCTTCGGAAACACCAGAGAGATGTTTAACTTTGTTAAATAAAACTAGCACTCTTCTGCTCTGAAGTGTTTTTTCAGCATAGCATACTTCCTAGGTTTTCACAAGATACAAAGACTTTATTTTCTGGGTGCATCTAGTGATTATCTTGAATCTTGAATTAAACTTGATTATCTCAAGTTTGGCAAAACCTCACTTTATTAAAATGAGCAGCTTGGACACTTTGAAATTGTCCAGTTTTATTACACTATTTTCCACATTCCATGCAAAATGTTGGTCTTTGTACTTAAATTAACAAATAAGTTAATAACCAACAAGTAACAATCTGACAGTCCTTTTAATAAAGTGCAATATGCAAATTCCACCTTATTTACCATATCTTTGTAGTCATTCATATACAATATGGTTTTCAGTAACAGACCAAATGCATTTTTTTACACTGCATATTTATGATAAATCTTTTTTTTTAATGTTGACATGAAAAAGCTTTGAGCTGCATCAGTCTCTCTGTCACTCACCACAGAAGTGTCAAGCCAACAAATACCTAAACATGGTGAACTTCCCAGAGGCCAGCAGTCTGGATCCGATAGCATTCCTCTCATAGAATTTTTCAGATAGTTTAATGTTCTTGTCATATAAATGAATATTTCCCTTGGAAAAGAGGGATTATGTACTGTATGCTTTTCTGGGGAAAACAGGAACTAGTTCTAGAAGAACCCCCTAAGCACATCAGGTATGACTCTTTCATTGTTAAAACAGCACTGTATCAAGCTTCTAAGAGTAGCGTAATGAACGTCAATCGAATTGAGTCATTTATTTCCACTATACAAATTTGGGTGTACAGCAGACCTACACAGGCATCAGCCTTCAGTGGTTTGAACATTCAGTAACCCCATATACGTGCGATATATATGATAAAGAATGATTTCTTATTCTATTGTGAAAGGAGTGAAGTCATCCATATACAGTACATTGCCTGTTGAAACCAGCTTATAAAATTAAATAGTAGGATAATAAGTCATGAGCAAGCCTAATTAGAAGGGTGGTGTTCTTTTTTTTCCATGCATAATGTCATTCTTGTGCTGCCTAAGGTCAATATAAAAAAAAAAGTTTTTGCAAGTTGAGTTAACCTCCCACAATAGTGTCAGTCATCTTAAAAACTACAGCGTAATCAAAGTACTTAATGTAGGACCTTTATACTGAATTAACTGTTTTAATGTCTTACCAATTTGTGCAGTCCTATGGAGCAAATCTATAAATATGGTTTTGAAACTAAGAGAGCAATTTAAATTTCTGATGTTTGTGATTTTCCATTTGTTTTTCATTTCCAATTATTTGCAGTTGTAATTATTGATAGATGTTGAATTTATCATAATACTGTACAAATGTCATCTTTGCATCAGTGTATAATCCATGTTTTCTGTAAAAAAGGAAAAAAGCTTTTCTACAGTAGACAAGAAGGCAACCTTTCCAAGCACTTATCTCTTTGAGGAAATAGATATGAAGTCTGAAGTATTTAATCTGAACTAAGGTTCAAACCTTTACTTGGGTTTTTTGTAGGTACTGGGGACACAGTAGCTGTGATGATCACCGAGTCCTACGGCAAGGAGATTCTGGGCTTCGTAGAGAAGAACTTGACAGTGATGATGACCATAGTTGTAGGCACTCGAGGTCCACCCAAGAACATCAACCGTGGCTCCCTGGTCTTCGTTTCCATCTCCTTCATCGTGCTGATGATCATCTCCTCCGCCTGGCTTATCTTTTACTTCATCCAGAAGATTCGCTACACCAACGCTCGGGACAGAAGCCAGGTGAGTGTTTTCCCTGGGACTTGAAACAGTGTTTAGAGGACCTGCCGAATGATTGTAGTCTCCTGTTATTTGTTGTGGTCATATAAGACTGTAAAGTGTTACCCATTATCTTCAATTTTAGCATTTATAATAATTTCTGCACAGTGGCATAATAATAATTAATTATTATTATTAATAATAGTGCTTTACAGGTAATGGAGACTCCCCTCCACAACCAATGTGCAGCATCCACCTGCATGATGCGACGACAGCCATAGTGCGCCAGAACGCTCACCACACATCAGCAATCAGTGGGGAGGAGAGCAGAGTAATGTAGCCAATTCATAGATGGGGATTATTAGGAGGCCATGATGGGTAAAGGCCAGTGGGAAATTTGGCCAGGACGCCGGGGTTACACCCCTACTCTTTTCGAGAAACGCCCTGGGATTTTTAATGACCGCAGAGAGTCAGGACCTCGGTTTTACGTCTCATCCGAAGGACGGCGCTTATTTACAGTATAGTGTCCCCATCACTATACTGGGGCATTAGTACCCACATTGACCATGGGATGAGCGCCCCCTGCTGGCCCCACTAACACCTCTTCCAGCAGCGACCTTAGTTTTTTCCAGGAGGTCTCCCATCCAGGTACTGACCAGGCTCACACCTGCTGAGCTTCAGTGGGTTGCCAGTTGTGAGTTGCAAGGTGATATGGGTGCTAGCATATGAAAAGTGAAAATAGGCTACAAAAATGGGTAACTGATTATACACTAGGCAGGTAAACACAGAAATCTCGTTATGGTTGTCTTTGTTGAACATGCTTTTTACAGTGCTTTGTGATTAAAAAAATAAAATGTTAATATTCTACAGAGGGCCATGTTATCATCATCAGCGTTATGATCTAAATTTATGGCTTTCAGCCCACTATCCTGGTGGCCTGTTAGATGAATACCATAGGTGGAATGTATTGTTGGCATGCTGATATTGTCATACAACCTCAAGAGACCAGGAGGGTGAGAACATACCACAGCAACCCTTAGTAAGAGAGTTGGCCTTCTGAAACCAACCCTGGGGATGACTCCTTCATAGTTCCCTGACCTTTCTTTTTTTTCTGAATTTATTTTTTAAACAAGGTTAAGAGAACCCTAATGAAAATTTGATGTGGTAAAAACACTCAGCTCATAAAACTTTCACAAGCATTCCTTTCCAGCAGCTGTCTCTAAATGCCAGGTGGTGGAAGATGAACACCACCACCATCTGAAGAGAGGGGGCTGTTTGTGCTGCTGTATTCTCAGAACAGTATTGCTCCGTGTGTGTATTTGTGCCTTTCATCCGAAAACTATAAATGTGGCATATGCTTTTGTGGAAGTTGTGTTTCAACTTCATCTCTTTGAACTATAGCACTACAAAGCTCAGTTTTAAATTGAAAGATATTTCTCTGCTGGCTTCTTTCCCCCTGACAGTTCTCTTTTTGAAAAGTTTTTGACAAGCCAGATCTTTACAAGCCCAGTATGTGCTGTAGGCTTGACTAACATGAGCTCTTTTTCCTGACGTCTAAATCTAGCTAAGCGGTACAGCAATATTCCACTGTATTATAAGCTTTTTACAGTGTGTTTGACAGTAGATGTAAATAAAATCTTCCTGCAGCTAACACAAACAAGTGTTTTAACTTTAATGTAGAAGGTTGGCTTTGCTCTCTGCATTTGAATTTGCAATATAAATAAAGATTAAATTGTTTGACATGAAGTTAGAAAAGTGAGGAGAGAATTCCGATCCGTTGAAGTAACTTTGACAACACCTAATACTTTACTTTAAAGAAGTTTAAGATTGTCTACTGTTTCCTGATTCAACATTATACTTTCAGTGTTTCATTACATCTTTCCTGAATGTTGTTTAAATCCCAGAGACTTCCTCAAAGCTATGCTACTGTTTTGTCTGGCCATCAACATATTCTGCTGAAGATACTAGCAGTGGCTTTAAGAAGAATGCTGTGAAATAAAAACTTGACAGGGTTATGTGCTGACAATCAAGACAAGGCTTTTCGGTTAAAATGTCTAAATCATGATCATACTTGTTTCAGAAGTTAAAGACCTCAATCATGTGGTTATGGAAGAAGTCTTAATATTTTGTCATTAGCCCACTTGATTTGAGGGATCATTGTCTTTTCATGTGGAACCTCGGTTTCCATAAATAAAGACATTTCTGCATTGGTTCAAGAAGTAGGGTGTCATTGTAACAAATGCTGAAACAAGCTAGTATAAAAACCTATATTTATACCCTACCTAGTGCCAGTGATTGTCAGGATTTGCAGCTTGTCCTCCTGAACTTTATATAATTTCCATTATATTCTGTAACAATTGTGTACACAACAAGTGTTCCTGAGAATTGTGTTGTCCACTGGATTGATTTGACACAAATAAATGGCTTAGAAGGCATTATATTTTCACTGTTTTACTTCAGAGGAAACAGTTTAAATATGGCTCATGTCTAAAGTTTTGGGGGCAACACCCATTTCATCTGCTTTTTGAGAAATGAGTTGAAGACAGTTGCTTCAGCTGTTGCTGGGGGCTGACTGTTGAAAAGATATGAAAATGTGCACATTGCTTTTATCTTCCTGTGCCTGCTGTGTAGAAACACATATATCTTCTCTTCTGTTGCTGCTAGTTCTAACAACTTTAAAAACAAAAAAACATACTTGAGAAAATGTAAACATTATATATATGATGAAAAATCAGCCCACTCGTCAGTAAATTAATCAATCTCATCTGACTGGAAAGTCAGTATTTTTGTGCACATCCGAAGACTATTCTGAAACTCAAAAGAACATGATTGCAGCATTAAGCAGTTCTTAAAACGTAACCTGGTTTATTGCAAAAATATTTAAAAAAAACAAAACTCCAAATGTCCACATCCCTTTTTCAATAGTCCTCGGGTCCACTGAGTTAATCTGAAAAAGAAACACTCTGCAGCTTCTTTCCCTTCCTATACCCATGTGATTGATCTGAGAATGACTTAATCATGTGGGAGGATGTTTTTAGAGAAACCAGGGGATTGGGAAATATATAAAGTGATTTCAAAGTGATTTTGTTTTGAAAAGGTCACTAAAAATTAGTCTGTTTTTGCTTCTCCTTGTCACTGGTGAATTAACTATTTTCATGTTTAGTTTGTGAAAGGATGCCTATGACTACAAATGTGTGAAGCAAGGGCATAACAAAGTGCCTGAAAGACAAGAATACACATCTTTCGGTGGCTACTTCGGTCTGCTTTGTTCCTGTTGGGTAAACCAGAAGTTAAAAGACGCTTTATAAAAATAAATTGAATTGAATTTATTTTTATGAAGAGAAGGGCTACAGTGGGAACACATTTTAGGTGTATTACAGAGCAAACCCATGCACTTGTATTTCACTGTTGACTTTCCTTAATCTGCTAAATCAAATAAATTAAACCTCTTTAACCTTCTGTTTTTCTATGTTGACTCTAAATGCCAAACAGTGTTTTCTACAACATCCATATGTACAACAATTACCAAGACAAATGACTTTCCAATTAATAATACAAATCAGGCGCAACAGATTTCCAGTTCAAAGCAATTAAATCTATTCTGCAGGCGTCACCTGCCAGATGATTGACCTTGCTTCAGGCTCAGTGTCCTTCCTGTGGATGAGCAATCTCACTGTATGGCTCTTCCATCTGGTCATATTGTGGGCTGAAAGGGTTTCACGTTTGCATCAATAAAAAATTATAATGTCTGAAAGACCAACATTCACTGGACCAGTTTAAGGTTAATTACTGAAATAGAGAACACAAAACTGTCCCCTTCTCCATACCCCTGATATTAGAATTAAAACAACTCCTCATTGATATTGAGTACAGTACATAGGGTCCTTAGGTCACCTAGATAAAGGTTTGTGACAGTTCTTAGCAGCCTTCAGAAATGTTCTGACTTTCATTTTTACCATTTTATGAAATGGCAGCAATATGAAAAAAGGGAAGTTTTTTATACAACTATATCCATGCTTCCTGTTGTCTGCAAGAAAGAACAGGCCTTTTTGAAGGAATTCCTCTCTTGTGACATTTTGCAGAAAAGAAAGCATTCTTTTAAACATTTGTATTTTTGGAGTATTGCTTTTTCCTGTAACCTTAAATTTTCTGTTTTATGCCAGTATACATTCAGCAGTATGTAGGCACATCATGTTACCCAATTAAAGGGTTTCTTTAATTGGACACAATCCTTCTATACTACATTTTTTAGGTGCTTAATAAGGGGCATGTCAGATTGTTTTAGTCACAGCTGTCAAATTAGCACCTGCCTAACCAAAAAAAGATTTAGAAGAGTTTTAACATGCAAAAGTGTGTGACTCAGTTCTCAATTATATAAGCGTAATTGTGAGGTGGGCCCCAATGCATAGTTTTTTTTTTCTTAAAGGTATATCTTAGATTGCCTGTGCTTTTGTTTTCTGGTTGCTTTCTTGTTGATTGTTCAGTTCTAGAAATTTGTATTCCTTCAAAATCCTTCTTCAATCAGATTTCCATTGTGATTTTACTTGTTTTTGCCCCATAAACATACATACTGTACAGTTGCCATTTTGTAGTAAGAAGTAAACAGCAAAATATATGGCAATATTTGATTCCTGTATAAAACAAATAGCACCCTTCTTTTTTTTCCTAGTTGCACATACATGCTGTCATGCAAGTTGAGCTGTGTTGTGACATGTTGTCTCTGAGCAGGCTAATGAGATAGTCCAGTAGCACTCCTGTTCTTTGAAATCAGTTGTCAATCATAAATTGAACCTGTTGCTTGGTTTAAAAAATAAAATTTAATGAAAAATGCTCAATTTCCACACCATGCAACATCCTCTTAACAGTCTCTTTCAGATGAATTTTTTAGCCATTTTCAAAAAGATTCCAAGTATTTGTGTACCACTTCAGTGTGCTCTATATCGTCACTGTCACTAAAATGCCATGTATCTGCTTTTTAGAAAAAGTCTTTTGAATTTTAAAATCTGTATCTAATAAAATCATAATCTGATATTAGTCTTTTAAGGTAGAAATATTATTTCTAAGTGGATCATAAATTAATTCACATCTTGAGCCTTGCTGATATCTAACTACCAGTATAGCAACTTCATTAAATATGTTGTATCCACACACAACTGAGGACAGGTGCCTGGAATTTAAGGGGAATTTGGCAGATGAACACAAGCCTATAACACATCCTTACGGGCAAACAAGAAATGCCTTTCTTTATTAAATTATTTATCATACAGTATAATCAAGATAATGGATTTCACATAGTTGCATTTACTTTTGGATTGAATACAGCCGTGCGTCTCTTACTTATGATTTATAGGATTATTTTGTTTGTTGGCTGGTGTCGTAAATGCACTTTCCCACTCATGTCTGTTTCATAAATTTTCATTTTCATGTTTTGACTGCATGGGTTCCTTTGCTTTTACCTTTTTTTATTTCAGTGGATACATTATGTTAAATGGATAACTGCAGGCTGTGCATTCAGTGAAAGCTTGGCTTGGAATTGGTGTGTCACAATCTGGAACTTGACCATATGCCTTTTGTCAGCCTCTCTGCAGCAATCTCTTGGATCAGAAACATCCTAAGAAAACATAATAAAAAATCCGGTTTATGTTGAAAACCAGAAAAGGTCATAAGGCTCCATTGATTTGTCTTTGAAACAGTATGTTCCAACAAGAGAACGTGACCACTTTTTTGTTTCTTTCATCAGCTTCAGGTTGTGTTAACCATTTATAAAGATACAGTACTTGTTTCCAGAGCACCACAAAAAAACTACAAAATGAAGCTGTCTGTAAGCAAATATAAATGTCCTGTCGTATTTAGTACTTCTGATTATTCTTGTACTGATCAGCCATGTGTTGTGTCAAAATTTGTGGTTTTTATTTCATCTACTTGTAAAATTTTGCTGTCTTCAGGTGGCACAGAAGGTGTTTTCTATATAAAAATATCAGCATAATGGGACTATTAAGAAACAATATGTCCATGATCATTTCAGTTTGGCATTTTACTTTTACAGTACACCTGGAAAAAAAAAAAACTTTTTCTCCTAAAGTTAGCTAAGATTATGTTTGGTAGATTTTGTTTAAAATTGAATGTAACAGTGTTCTGGAAAATATTGTAGCAATTTCGCATTACATGTCTTTACCAAAATCTGCAAAATGTTCAGATGTTTCATGTGCAGTGCGTGACCAGATTAAATAGAAAATTATATTTTTATCTGCTCTTTGCTCCTCTCAAATACAGTATGTATGCTGTTTCTCCCAGGTAGCATAGTTCATGAATTATGACAGATAAAGATTCTTCATTGTTATTTCCCAGTTACAGTAGTTTGTCAATTCCTATTGTCTCTGGGGTGAAGCTGAGCTACTTTTGGTATCAACACATGACTTTGCAGCTTGACCATACACCAGTTTGACAGAGTGATGAGAAAGGACACATTTTTTATCTGAGGATACAGTAATGTTTACCAGCATAAAAGAAGCTATTCAAATCATTTAGCCAAAAATGCACTTCTTACTATACATAACTATATTGTGATTTTAAATTATTTTGAAACAGTACTAAAGCATACTGTAGGTGTTTACAGAGATTGGTAGAAGTAGCAAAGAGGCATGGCAGTGTTTTATAATTACACGGTTCTAGTCAATCTTCTGGTTCTCGATGTTTGTAAGCTTAGCAAACTGAAGTTGCCCTATGATAATGACGTGTAAGAGTCAACATTACGTATACCTAGCTCTGAAGGTCAAACCAACAGCTGTTGTCTACATGGTCCAAGGCCCTCTTACACAACTATCATTCTCCTGTAGGATATGGGGAGGATATGTAAGGTAACATTTAGAAATTTGTTAGCCGTGCAGGTTCATGTAGTCTAATTAATTAGCTTGTCAAATGTGCTAAAATTATATTATGATTGGCTGGAATATAGAGAATAGTCAGCAGCTTGTGTATGACTGACCGTGCAAAGATGAGAAGCTGAAAAATATTACAGGGTTAGCATGAAAAGGTCATTGGAGACTGATGTACTTTGAAATGGACTGTCAAAGAGAACTGACGATGAAGGACCTTACAGAAAAATGTAACGTGTCACCCAGGAGGATTGTCAGTAGCAGTACATCGATCTCTCCATTACAGAGAAATCTGCATTCATGTAGATGCACACAAGCTGCTCTCCTACAGCACTTGGACTTTCTTGAAAAGTGACAGAGCAGCATTTTGCAGAATCCTCTGTTTCACTTTTTGAGAAAGTGATTTCAATCCCCTTCCTGGTATTCATGGTACAGAAAAAAAGTGAAACTGTAATTATTTTCCAAATACCATGGTTCTGAATATGGTCATTTCATTGGTAAATAAGACCTCAGAAACGACAGACATTTTCTGAATTCCTAACTGAACTGATATATCAGTTACAAGAAAAGAATTTAACCAGAGACGATGGGTTTTTTGTGCACCATCCTTCTCTTTCAGAAAAAAAATGAAATGAGACTGCTTTCAACTGTTAGAAGAAAATGGATCTCAGGGTTTTAATAGCTGAATAGCTGACTAGCACAATACTATATTTTAAATGATGCCATCCTTGTTGGACTGAGTTTTTTCCTGGCTTTATGCTTGTGTTCCTTCTCCTTCTTTGATACCAGTAAATTTACAGATTATTCAAAGATGTATTTTTATTATTGTTGGTTATAATAGGTTTTCCTCAGCTTGCTTTCTTTTTATCTCTCAATCAAGTTAAAAAAAAGCAAAGGATAGCCTTTTTGGCATCCAGACAAAACCATATCAAGTCTGCAGTTTCTGCTAAGTGTTTAACTGCCGCAAAGAAATGTGTTTGTGGCTTTGTTCTGTTAAAAGATAATACAAATTTATAAATGCAGCCTTTAGAATGACATTTGGAGATATTATAAATTAAGCTATTTATTTCTGGACTGGTTTGTACATCTATGAAAAATAACTGTCAAGAGAAAAATTAATTGAAAGATCAAAAACAAAATCCTCTCAGTTTTTAATTTAATGGATTTTTGGTTATTGTATTCCTTGTTACGTGCATATATTTCTATAAACATTATATGGGTCAGATTATTTTTAATGCTTTTGCCTTCTCTGTTTACTGCACTGTTTAAATAGGGAGAAATTCTGCTGTGCGTTGCTCATCTATGTGCAGTAATGTTCCTTTGCAATCGAACTTGGGGAGCCTCAAGAAATCTATTTTATGAAAACTAAGGTTATGACTTCCATGCTCAGTGACCTAACAGCTAGTTTACTCTGAGTGAAAAATGTCACATTCCTGTGGAAGAAAGTCTGTGAGGTGTTCATATGCTTCATATTTCTGTCTTGCAGCGCCGGCTCGGTGATGCCGCCAAGAAAGCAATTGGTAAACTTACCACAAGGACTGTGAAGAAAGGTGACAAGGTAGGCCAGAGTTCTGCTCACCTTGGCTGTTTCTATCCAGATAGAAAATGCATTTATTTTCCATGGACTTTCAAAATCTTTAGCAATAAATGTTTTTTTCTTTCTTGTGTGAAATTCATTGGTGGAATCTTTGTCTCACATTATCATTTAAGTCTATTAATGTGGTTTGAATCCATGGACTTAGAACCTAGCGACACTATTTCAATCACTGGTGTTTAATAGAACACTGTATTTGTCTTTGATGCCCACACATCTCAAAGACTGAATACTCTAACTAGTGCATAGATGTTTTCCATTATAGAGCATAGAAATGACTGCACAGTTAAGAAATGATCTGATTTGTTGCCTAATTAAAATTTCCTGTATATGTAGAAACTTGGAATAGCCAGCAGTTTTTAGGCTTCCAAATTTGGAATCACCAGTTCTTACTTAAGCCCACCCAATAGAAGTAGAACTTGTTGAGTGTCTCCATTTGAGGTATCAAGAGCGTAGGTGGTATATGATATATTCTGAATTCAGCTGATAATGTCTGTCTACTTTACATAGTTCATCCTACAGTATATTCATAGGTTCAGCCCTGCATTTGAATAAACATAATCTTTTCTGTGTTTGAGCAGTTCTTTCTTTCCCCTATAAGCCACATCATATTTCTTTTGAAATCTGTTTCTAATAAAATAATGGATTTTTTTGGAAGGGGGATTCTTTGCTGTTTCTTGTAAAAGAGGTATACCTGAGAGTCAAATAAAATTGATTACTGAGCTTAGGCTCTTTTTCCAGCTGATATTAGGATCTCACACGAATAGTGTATCACCTTTATTTTAGTTTTGCTATTGTGTATTGTGTGTATTCAGAACTCCCATTGCTTAGCGAATCTATGTTGCTCTGTCTGATTTGATCATTGTTCTTTGCTAGCTGAATATACAGTGCTACCAAACTTTTGGAGATTCATGATAAACAGATACAGCAGAACATGCAACAAGACAATAAATGACTAAACATTCCACATAATTCATTCAATTGAACAAAATAGAAACCCGTAGCTCTGTTTTTGTTACACACACTGCAGTGCTGCCCTCTGCTCAGTAACAGCAGAAAGCTTGTATAGCACATGCTGAGAGCCCTAACCACTGCTTATTGTTCACACCTTTGTCATTTGACATTTGTTTTGTTGTTGTTAGAAATGCAACTGACATGCATCCCTAGCTCAAAAGCCTGCCTAGTACTATAATTATTTTGATCCTAGTGCAGGCGTTGCACAAGGCCTGGTTGCTAATCCCCCACTACAATACCCCCCAGCTACAGATTCTTACAGGCTCTTTTAAAATGACGGACTTAATTACAGTGCACACTAATATTCAGAGTGTCATGAAGGAGAGATAAGTCAAGATACAGTAACTCTCCTGCTATGGAAGCTTATTTTAACACAAAGAAAAGAAACGTTGGTCCTTTTTTTAAATAGAACTGTATGTAGTAATTCCTCGGACCTAAGAAACTCAAGTCGTCTTTACTTTCTTAAAGTATGTATTAATTTTGCAACTCAGAAACACATTATTCATATTTTATATGACATTATTGATAAAGTAAAATATTCTAAGCTTGCAATTGGTTTGTTAGCAAAAAGCATTGAAATGTGACATTATTTTGCTCTCATGGCTCTGTACACTATGTACAGCACTCATCCAATCTTGTGATCAGTTCCCTGCAGTTACTTAGATAAGAACAACTTCACACCCAAAACTATCTGCCAGGAGAACATAAAAACCTGCCTGTGATCCAACCCTCCATGTGACCATTTTTTCAAGCTGCAAAAGAAGAAATAGTTCCTGCCTGAAGGCACATATGAAAAACATAAAATCCAAAGTTAAAGGTCATTGTCTTGGTATTCCAAGGACCGTTATTTAATTTCCAGGACATTTGAGGTGAACGTGGTGTCTAATAATATTCGTATTTTACGGGTAAACTAAAGCACATTCTAAGGAATCAATGAAGATTGTGATGACCAGTGCTCAACAAAGTTGAGTTCTGTTATCAGTTGCTTTTCCTCATTATCTACAGTATATATAAAAAAGAGCAAAGATGAAGCCTCCAGGAAAAGATGAACCATTCACATATGATCCTACCAGATTCTACAACACTACATCAAAACAAACAATCAGATGAAGAGCATATCTTCTCCTGAAAAGATCAAGATGTCTGTTTTTACTTTCTTCTGTTAGAAAGCATGGATTTTGAGTTTTGAACTCATGCCAGCAGATTCCTAGCTACACTAGTTCTTCACTGGGTTTTTATCCACTGGGTTATAGTCCGTGATGTGGTATATTTTGTTGTGCATCGCCAGATGACCACCATAATCTTTTATTTATTCATTTAAGTAAGAATACCTCTACTTAAATATTGTCAGACAGCTCACATGCTACTAGAAATAAAAACTCCATGTAAAATGACTCATGTGAGGCATATAGAATCACATTCCAAGCATTGATTGTTGAGAAGCGACCTCTATGAAATTCAAGATGCATGACCTTGGCTAAATGGGACTAAATTGTAATATCATTGAACATCCTCCCTCTCATTTAGATTCTCTGTTGTTTTTTGGACAGACCCCGACACTTAGAATGATGATCATCACGATGTCTCGCCTTCAAGGAGCATGCCTCTGGCCATAAACTGTCAGCAAACGTTTTGTAGCTCAGAGGGTGTTTGCACATTAAGTTATGAACCAAAAACCTATTCTTTTTATTTACTTTTTAAATTTACTATAAGTGGCTGTCCTCCAGCATGTTTTATTGACAACCAGTCCTCTTCTTCTCACACTGAAAATGAAATTTGAAATGAGTGAAAAGTGTTATGTCATAGGACTGACAGCCAGAACAGCTAAAGACCAGACATACTGAGCCAATGATACAGTTTTTGTATCGAGGATCACCCCAGTACAACCTTTGAAGTGGCTGTCCAATTGTGCGTTGTCTCCTGGGATCTGTAGTCTGCTGCCTTACAGTGGATTAGACTCCATTTCAGCTGCCAGACTCTTAAGGCTGCAGGCCACGTTCTGCACTCCCAGTGGAGGCTTTCTGTTTTTTAAGACAAAGACTTGGATTTTCAAAATAGCTGCTTTGAATCCTTTGCAGACACTGTGATTTAAAAAAAGTGACATTCATTTTAGTGCCTGTTACACTATTATCAACACATTCAGATGGGCACAAAAAATTTTGCATATAATTCTGTATAAAAATAAGGTTATACTTGTTATACTTGTACAATACAGATCTGGGTCTGCATTTTTTGTTTTTGCCCAAATGTAACAAAAACGTTAAGCATCTGTTCAGTTGAAGCTCCACTGAATTTGTTTAATCTAGTAAAGAGTAGTGGTATGGGGTTGTAATCAGCATTCTGTACATAATTGCAGTTATCCCATCATAAGAATATAGTCCCAATTGTTCTATGCTATGAAGAAATAGTCCTAAATGCTTTGCAAATGAAGTAGAAACAGAAAATAGAATAGAGAACAGTTACCATGGAGAAGAACCAAATGCAGATAAAGAAGTAATGATGTGGGGAAAAAAGTCAGCCAGGCAGTAAAGCAGCCCAAACAGAGTGCAGGGCATTAATCATTGCTGACAAGGGAGAGTAGAGAGTCTCGCAGGCCAGGGATGTATGCTTGGACTTGGCCTGATGTTTAGGAGACATCTTTGTGTTAATCTGCTTTCTTAAATTCCTACGCATGTCCAATGTGTACCAGTACTACAGAATACATTTGTAGTTTATGAAATAAACCAATTATAGACGCAGAAATGAACTACGTGTACATCATGGAACCAATAGCTTCCTTATTGGCAGAGAAAAGCACTAGGCATGGGCTGTCACCTGGCATAATCAATACCAGTTAGGAAGTGTGGCATGAAATCTAATTGCCAATCCATGTTGCTGGAGTGGTGTTATCTGAGAGAAAAGCTAAAAACATCTCTCTTGTTACCTGGAACGTGCTTTCTTCCCCAACTTTCATCAAGTACATTGATCTCTTTCTGCCATAAGCAGGATTGTTGCTAATTTTGTCTCCCGTAGTGGTTTAAATGTCCTCGCCATAGTTCCTTGTTTCCTTCAGTCAGCAATTTTTTTGATATCACTGTCCCATAAATAAGATTGCATTGATTTGCATCTCCCTGTCTTTCTGTGGCTCATCCTTCTTTTCTTTACCTTGTTGTGTTGAATAAAACACACTGAAAGAGAAAGCAGAGCAATAGACTATTGTCAAATGTGGTTGGACAGTTAAGAAGGACAAGCTACTCTATCATGAAGGCAATTTAAACTTCATAGCTGTAAAAGTCATACAAGCTTTAACCCGTTGAAGGCCTTGGCTAAGATTCTGTAGCAGAATTCAAGCTCTATTGTTTTTCATATTTTTTAGGATTCCTCATCTAAAACCACATTTGAAATCTATGAATCTATTTAAATGTTCTATAGTATTTTAATTGAATGGCAGCTATATGTATAATACAATTTTTGTTATAGTGCTACTGGGTATTTGTGTACATACAGTATGAAGTAAGGAACAAGTAAAGGTTTATTCCATGCTAAAAACTCACACCCGAACTCACACCCGGAGAAGGCTCCACAGCCGAAACGTGTTTCCTTTCTTCTCATTTCAGCATGGAATAAACCTATTACTTGTTCCTTTGCAGCCTTCACGTGCTGATGCAGCTACCTACTTGAACTACATAAGAAATAGTTGCAAGTGAGAGGATGCTATTCAGTCCATCCAGCCTCTGTAGTTGCTAGTAGATAACTGACAAAAATGAAATGTCAACATGAACACTTAAATTCTTTTCACAAGTAGCTTCTTCTAGTTCAGTAGATCTGTATTTTGTCTTGCTACTTACGTGCATTACGTGTCCACATTAAATGACATCTGCCAGCTGTTTGCCCAGTCTTGTATTTCATTAGAGCCCTTTAGAATTTACTTTGCAGCTTCAGAATTGTTTGCTAATCCTCTTGTTTCGGTATCATCGAGGAAATCCACTAGTTTGCTAGGTAAGCCAGAAGATAAATCATTGATGTAAATTTGGAAGAAGAGTGATCCTAATACAGGACCCTGTGGTACTCCATTTATAACATCACCTTAATTTGAGCATTCTCTCCTTAAGAGATACATTTCTTATTTAATAATAAATATATGTATATAATTATAATATAATATTTAATCTACATCATACTCATATGCTCTTTTTTGTAATTATTGTTTTTGTTTTTATCCACCCTAAATAAGGATAGCTGATTTTACGAGCATGCAGTCTGTATGAATTATTGGAATGAATATTAATTAGTTCTTGCTATTTCACAACACTGGGGTAGCACTGAGATTTAGCAAATTTAGAAGCCATGCACTGCTGTTTCACCCTTATTAGGGCTTATTAGTGTGGCATGGCAAACTTGGACTTTCACAGATATATGTATCTTTTTGATCTGATTACTATGATACAGTATGTTGAAAGCATCTTTGTTTATGCACTTTTTCAGAATTCCCATGTCTTCAATATCTTGTAATTTACAGTAATTGTGCAAGTGATAATCTTTGTAGATCGTTATTGCTGCTATCATTTGTTTGAAGATTCAAGCAAGTAATGAAAATAGAACGTCTTATGCAGGATGCCATATCATTAGATCATTGCTCTGATACTAGACAATATTCAGATTCTAGTTTAACTAAGAATGGCATTATTTTTATTAAATTTCTGGATCACAGCACTTCATTATTTCTATTTCTTTCTCTGTTTTATTGTCTTGCATCAAAGATCTCTAGTTTGTTAAGAACCTATTAGATCGAAGGACTTAAAGTGAGCTGGCCATCAGGTTGTATTGATGTCAGGAAACATGAGGAGTGTTTTAACATTGGAATATATGTATTAAGCATTTTTTTCTGTTTGTATTTGTTTTGTTTTGTCAGGAAACAGACCCAGACTTTAATCACTGTGCAGTCTGCATCGAAGGCTACCAGCTGAATGACGTGGTTCGCATTTTGCCTTGCAAGTAAGTTTCTGAACAGAAAATCTAATTTCCTAATAACATAAAAACAAGCCATTGCCTCCGTTCTGTGCTCCAGATATCTATCTCCAGCAAGGTCAAACATGAAGGCAGCTGTCTAATGAATTCCTTATTCAGTACTCTAGACCTGTTAACTCTCACTCTCCATGGCAGTGCTCTGAGACAAATATAGCATAAATGTTGTTTTCAAAATGTCTCCAGTGCATATTTCGCAATCATAGTATTGTTGCCTCAAGGCCTTTTCACTATACCACTACATCATTCAGCACGATTTCATTACATTATGAGCTCTTTCCACAAAAAGCAGAAAAAATAGCTTCTTGTCACATTTTTTATAAAATATAGGAATCCGTGAACAGAAAACTGCAATTTCTTTCTACTAACTTCAACTAGATGGCAAATACGCTAAGGGGGAGACGCATAACAATAGTTGTGATCATCAGATTCATACACCTGAGATACCAAAACCTTTTCTAATTGTTCAGTAATACAATTTGAGAGTTTGTCACTTCTTTTTTCAGTTCGTCAACGAAAGTTTTTTTTAAAACAACCAGCATACCTCTTTCTTTGGTCATCTTTGTACACATCATTGAAAAGCTATTAGCATTATTGAAATGTGATATACTGCAGAGTGTTTAGTTTTTAGTAGGTAACTGATCCAAGGATCTCATCCAGCCGTTTCTTGAAGGAAGCCAGAGTATCAGCTTTGACAACATGGCTGGGTAGCGTGTTTCAGACTCCCACAAGCCTTTGTGTCAGGAGTGCCTTCTCTGGTTTAAGTGCTCATCTCTTTGGTTTCCATGTATGTCCCCTGGTTCATCTTTTACTATTGATTCTGAGCAAGTCTATTGGGTTGACTTTGCTCAGTGCCTTTAAAGATTTGGCTTATTTTAATCAGATTCCTTCTATTAAAAACTGCAATGATATAGACTAAGATTATATATACAGTATATATATCTTTCTGTCTAAATCTACAAGTGCAGTCATGAATGAAATGCACTTTTTTGTTATTTTTAAAACATCCAGCTGTGTTAGTGCAGTCATCTGTAACCCAGAAGAAGTTACAGAAGCGATCATTTTAAAAATGCAGTAGTTGAACTATATACAGTACTACGGAAATGGAAATAATCCAGTAATAATGATTTTTATTTTAAAAAATACATTTAAAAATGCATTTGTTGCAGGTAATAACAAAATGTCATATATGCTTAGAAAACAGCTGTTATACAGTCTTTATCATTTGTCATCTGTCTTACTGCTGTTAATAACCCAACCTTTTATTTTCCATATTACAGTCTATTTTTAGTTTTGCTACAAGATGTATTCATAAGATTTTGGATTTTACAAAATTCTTGTTAGCTTGGATTTTAAAGTGAACAGTTTCAAATGTGTCAGGTGATAAGCTGGTTAAATGTGCAATGGATATTGAGACACAGGTCAGTGCTGTCCTAATGGTATTATAATCTGTTTTGCACAGGTCTAATGCTTTAGTTGAAGAATCAGGGTAATCACAGTCTAATTGCATTGGGCTGCTTTATGCCTATTGACATTTTGTAGATGTAGGGATATCACTACCATCCATGTGGTATCAGATAACATAAATAAGAATTAAGCCAAGCTTGTTTTCTGGTAGTAATGTGGTCCATTTATTTTATTAGTCTGGTGTCAGGAAAATATTGTCAGGGCATTGTCACATTCATTAAATTCAATTCTTGCTTTTAAAAAAAATTTATTATTCTTTTGGTTTACTTTTTTTAATTTAAAAATGTAGGGACTCTGCAAAATATTTTCTTTCAGAAATGTTTGTTACTTGTGAATTAAGGTACTGTATATAGCATTTCTCTCCACAGTCCCATTTGTTTACCAAGCCTTTAGGTGATATATCTGTGGCATGCAGGAGTTCACATTAATCTCATACGTTTTTAAAATGTACATGTTCAGCTAGCTGCATGGTGCCAGTCTGCAGTTGTGCTTGTGAAGGAGCCTGCTAATGGATGGGGCCCATTTCTGATCTGGTGGTGTCCATTCCCTAAGGACAATGATGTATTACTAGCATGTTGGCTGTTCTGGTATATTAAGGTACAGCTGATGCATAACCTTGGCCTGGTTTCAGAATTGGAATGATTCTGAAGAGATTTAAAATACATCTGACAGGCTGTTACCTGTGTTCTGTGAAAGCAAATCAGCTTCATTTGAGAATGTGTGTTCTCATGGTGGGGAAATAATAGGTCTGAGGGGGTGCAAGGTCAGTGTTTGCTTGAGACCTTCAGCTTCTTGCTTGTGTCTTTAATATATTGCAAATTCACTGCACGCGGTTCCCTACTATTTTGGGAGAGATGTTATATTTGTGAAATGTGCAAGTTGTGGAACATAAATATTCCTGTTTTTAAATGTCCAAAAACAAGAATACAAAATAAACTTTTTTGGGGTAACTTTCTGATACCTTTCACTTCATAAATGTTAGGTGATATGCTACGTATTTTTGATCCCAGGTGGGCCTGTTAGTTTTCTCAAAGCAGAAAATAATTTTGTTTTTAATTTTGGTGTTCATGATGTAAGTAGAAGCATGGGAAGACTGATCTATATCCATTTTAGAGATCTACAGTATGTCCCTGACCTTATCTTCATTACAGCATAACTGTGGGAGCATCCCAAAAGCACACATACTGTATTACAGGTGGATATTCCAATAAGTCACAGTTTGCTAAGTCACAAAACCAGGAGGTATTTTTTTTACAGCAAAGAAAATGTAAAAGTCCATACTGTGACCCTGTTTTGCACTGTAAAAGGTTAATAAAAAATAACATATGGATATATGTGATTCACACAAATTACTAAACATGACTGAAGATGCTTCTTATACTGATCAGTTAAATTTCAACTGGTGTAAAGGTTGCTTTGCTCTTAGGTTTGCTGCTGTCAGTGTATTAGTACTTTACACTTATATTTTCTAGTAAAGGAAAATCTTTTTAGCAATTTAAAGATAATCTGGTTAAAAAGCATTCAGTCACAGGCTGACCATGTGACTACTGTAGTGTATATTACCTATTGCAATGCTAATGAGGCAGCACTTCTCCAGTAGGTAGACTGGTTTTTGGGGTGTTTTTGGCATTTATCCCATGTCATGCCTACATTGTGGGCCAAGGGAATGTGTAGATTTGTGTGTGCAATTGCATCTTTTTCCCTTGCTTCTTTTGTTACCCCTCTGTAACGACTGCCTGCCTAGAGGTGACGTTTAAAGGATAATTTGTTTTACAGGCACAGTCAAGCTTATATATCTCAGAAACCCTGTGTCTCTCTGGGTTCCTGCAAGATAAGATTAGGTTACCTACTAATGCTCTTGTGAGGTAGAAGTCAGTTTGAGTTTTCTAAGCTTGCCCAGCACAGGAAATCAAAGATTATATTTTTCCAAGCAGCCCGTGCTGAATTATTTAAACATGAACTGCGTATGTAACAGTGCATCACATATTCACTATGCGTGTCAGTGTAAGAGGAGTAAGCTAGTTATGGACCACTGAGTACCAGAGACGCATCTGGGGCTGACACTGACTACTGTCAGTCCCATTACAGTGAGCTAACTGGAGTAGGTCAGTGGGTAATAGTTCCTGGGCTCAGAAACATGTGCTACCATACTGTGACCCTGTTTTGCATTGTAAGTGGTTTATAAAAAAGAACATATGGATATATGTGATTCAGACAAATTATTAAACATTACTGAAGATGCTTGAAAATGGTTGCTTTGCTCTTTGGTTTAGTACAGGGGCTTAAACACCGTAAATAAACTATGGCTTAGCGTACTGTCACATCAGTCATCCAAGTGCATGTATCTTCCAAATGTAGATTATCAATATACAATTAACATTAATTAATTTGCATGTTATTGTTATTTGACATGAAAGCAGATCAGGGTAAAACCATTATTTTTTTCTAGAATCTTACTGTGAAACAAAATCCTGCAAAAACAATCAGTTGACAAACATGAAAACAAGGAAAGAAAAAAAACAGTCCTCGCTGTATGCAGACGCATAACATGTCTTTGATGACTATAAGAAAACCGTTGCCCTAGGAGTTGTTTGCAGTTATTTTTATGTTATCCCTCTCCAATGCACTGCATGATGTATTTCCATATTGGTTTACTTTTTATGAAAGCTTTTTTAAATTTAAAAACTAAAATGTCTGGATTTAACTACCTGTTAAGTTGCATTACAACAGAAAATTCAACTAGATATTGTTCCTGATTGTCCGTCTGAAATAAAACAATAGTAGTACTCTGTGGATCAGAATGTGCAAATGAACTATGTAGATAATCCACTGTGTGGATGATTGTGGTTTGACACAGTGGAATAAGAAACAAAATCTGCTATTATGAGACGGGCCTTGATTGGTTCGTGCTCACTGTCTTTTGTTCTTTTTTTCAGGCATGTCTTCCATAAAATATGTGTGGACCCCTGGCTGAATGAGCACTGTACCTGCCCTATGTGCAAACTTAATATTCTGAAAGCTCTAGGAATAATGGTAAGCAGTGTACGTGAAGTGTTGTGTAGAACATAGGCCTAATGTTTCCAGAGTGTTCTGTTGCCATAAAATAAATCTAATGCCATTCACTGTTTGAGTTCTACTTTAAACTTTAAACGTAGATGTCTGTAAAAATCTTCTACTAGCCTGTAATATAACAGACCACATGATTTGTAATCACTTCCCCTGAAGCAGTAACTATCCTTGGTTTTAAGTAGCTTTTCTCCACAAGCTCTTTTGTCCTTAAAATCCTTATTTAAAATTGTGGCTCACATATAGACAACAGCATTGTATGTAGTTAGGCCAAAAACCCTAGTTCTTTTAGTAAGGATTAATAACATATATTCATTCCTGTTTGATAAACACATTTTATTCCCATTATACAACAAAACAGATTTAGAAAATGTTATAAGTCAACTGCAATCAAGCAACAGGCCACTTGTGTTTCCAAGTGCAAATAAAGGAGGATATGTGACTGAGGTGACAGGGAAATGTAAAATCCAGTCTGCAAATTCTTTCATATCTCAGCAAAAATGAATGTATAAAAATGTAAATAAATATTGTTGCTTAGACTTTAAGAATGTTCCAGGATGTCCTATGAAACAGCCCTTGATACCAGCTTTGATGTTATGCAACTCGCCTTTGTGACAAAGGAAAACCTAGAAGCTACTGCCACCTTCTGGCAGAAATATTGATTGTATTTGCTATTTTTTTTCTTGCTGGTTGAAATGTTCTGGTAAGATATTTTGTAATTATAGTCAGGTATGAGTTTTAGTACTCTGTCATGTTTATTGTACTTTTTAACACTGTGTAATTTTCTGTCACGCCAAGCTTTTCTGATATGTAGCTTTCAGTGATTTTCAGACCAAAGGGCACTAGGATCAAACATTAACATTTTTTGCTCATCTTAACCGTGTTTTGTTTGCCTGTTTGTTTTTTAGCCAAACCTGCCCTGTGTGGACAATGTGGCCTTTGATATGGACAGAATAGGTCGAGGTCAGGCTGCCAATCAGAGATCAGCCTTAGGGGATCTATCCAATGAGAACTCAATTAGCTTGGAACCACTGAGGCATTCTGGGACCTCCCAAATCCCATCAGAGGGGGAACTTACGCCACGCACGGGAGAGATCAACATTGCTGTTACTAGTAAGAGGTTTTCTCATGCAGTTGCCATACATGATTGCACCTGGAATGTGTGAAGCTGGAAAAGCTGCACTCTTAAAAGCTTCTGCACAATAAAGCTATTAAGAATTGAACTTTTGCCCAGTACTGTCATCCACTAAAGCTTACTGTTAGAATTGCTATATTCACTGTGAACCTTCTTCTACTATTAATCAGATTACATTGTTTACTTTCAGATAACACACTTATTTGTAGGTCTTCAGTGCCAGATTTTATAGATTTTTTTCCCTCACCATAAAAAATCTCCTTGCAGCTGTCAAACAAGCTAGATGGGTCGAATGCCCTGCTGTCATTTCTCTCATGTTCTCAGGCCTTCATAAGCGGAACCTTTTAAATATTTAATGTCAGTGATTTCACCACAGCACAGCCCGGAGTGGCTTCAACAGGTCATACAAGCATTATTGCAGAGTGTGGGTTCAAGAACATTCTGTGAACAGTGCTGAAAGAAAAAATGGCTACCTTTGTTCTTAGACCTGCATTGTCTCCTTATCCAGTACTTGCAAAAGCACACGTGGCAGGATCTGTATGCAAACTATGGGTTGCACTAGTGATTTATGGGGACTTTCTAAGCATGTCAGCCTAACAGTTATCAACTATTAGCTATACAGCTATTAGCTGAAAAGAGGAAGTCCAAGTACTATTCAGGATTAACTGACCGGTGTCTTGTTTGTGGTCTGCTCACATTAGGCTTTCTCTGTAATAAAAGGGCAAATACAAGTTTCTTTGCTTGAAGAAACAGTTAAGAAATGTAAGTGGTGGGTCGGAGTTGGTTTTCACATACAGTACAATGTGTGATATCCATGACTTTCACAGTCAGAGCTGCAAATCACAAGTGATATTAGTATAGAAGGAATACAATTCACCCAGCAGTCAAAATTTCAAACCTTTCAATTTTTAAATAAATTATTTGCCTTTGCCTGCTATAATAACCTGACCACGCTAAGCCTTTTACTTATCACAGAGTCAAATCTGGTGTCTCGTGGGTATGTCTGCTTACTAACCTTGCAGTGCTTTTGCTTGCATTTGCTTTCCTTTTGTTCTTTTCTATCCCCTATAGCCTAATATTTTATGAGCCATATTTTTGGCATTTACTGGTAACTCTGAAATCATATAGATAGCCATGTTCTACAGATCTTTCTGTATCTTTTACACTAGATTTAAATCTAGGGCACATAATCTGCAATCAAACATTAGACTACTATGTTTCCTAAAACCAGAAATCCAAAAAGGCTTAAGCCATGCAATACAGAGTTGTGTTTGTGAAGAGTTTGAGCAATGTAAGAAAATAAGCTTTTTAAACTGCTTTTTCAGAATATTGAGTCTCTTTGAGAGAGTTTTCACTTAGAAGAACTGTCTGTTAAAATTAGTGATCTTCTGGTGGTGGGAGTTTGCAGATAATTCAGAAGATAGAAACATCCTTCGCATTGCATCTGGCTTATTAAAGATCCATATCTCCATAGTTGAATCTGTGCAGAAGACATTTCTAGTTATTACAAGTAGCCAATACAGTAGTTTGGGGCCTTTTGTTAAAGAAGCAATGATTTTTTTTTTTTACATTTTGTGAAATAGAAAGTTGAGATAACCTTAAAAATATAATAGATAAAAAAGTGTCCACAGACTTATGGGACATATTGTTTTTCTTGGCAACAACAGAAGTGCTATTAATGTGGTAGATTTGTTGTGAACTTGAATTTTGCACATGCCCAAATTGTTTTTTTTTAATTTAATGTCACAATTTATTGATAAAATTCCACACACCATAGACATGGATGTAGAGTTTTGCACTGTTGTTGTGCACTAATAAAACTACAGTAAATGTATTTTGTTTAGCTTCACATTACAGTGTTAGTATACCAGATTAGTATGTTTCAAAGTTAATTGCAAGAAGAAATATTCTAATTCAGTCCTCTATAATAAGAACAGTTTACAGGACACGTAAGTAACTTTATGTGATATGGATATGTACATTACATACTGGAAATTATGGAGAATTACCAAAACTGGCATGTCTACTTTCACCATCGGATACACTGTGGCATAACCTTGCCCCATAAACTCCATCTCAAGGAAAAACGGCACAATGTGTAGCAAACAATGTCCGGAATATCTCCCTCAGTCATTTTTAACCTTCTTTCATCTGGAGGATGCTGCCAGTGTTGACAAAATAAAACCCACTGCAAGGCAATCTGATTACTTCAATAGGCATAATGAAATTTGGTCTTTGAGAACATCTTTTCCGTCTCGGAATTAACGAGAATTTGATGTCTGCTCTCAGAGATTAGCTCACGAGCATTTTCACTAACTTCTGTACACAACCTGTACAAATGGTAATAATAACAAGCCAACAGATAATCAGTGAAGGTCTCCAACACTTAATGTCTAAAAAAGAACCATTTCTCTCATCAAGGAAGCAAATAAACACATTTATTCTGTCAACTGAGAGGAAATAGAAGGAGGTCCTGATGATCCCAAGGAATATTTCCTGCATCATACCCGATTTAAGATCAGGTTGTCACAAACAAAATTATAATTTGCTTGTTTTTTTTTAAATTTCACATGATATGAAAATTTTTCTTGGTGGGGAAAACACAAGGATATTTTTGCAGAGGGAGGATTGAGGTGTCAGAAGACATGGACACAGAGTTGTCAGATTCCATCAGAGATCAAACCCAGTACATTCTGACAGTTTCAAATAGGAGGGGATGAAACGTTAAAAAAAATTACAAATCATCATACTATAAGGTTATGAGAAGATGTCATCTCTCTTTTTCAATGCCTTTATTAACAGAGGATGTGATACTTGTTGCCTCTTGTTCAAACATAAGTACGCCATGCGATTAACTTGATGAGAAAGAATATGAAACAAGCTTCAAAGTGTAGCATGAGACAGACTTACATCTAAGGTCATCTACACTTTTTCTGATACCATGAACTGTAAAATCTATGTAATCTGTTTTTGTACTTCAAACCTGATCACAGATTTCCAAGAGTACTGTTTTAGACTGAAAGCCTATTGATCTTAATTGCAAAATGCTGGTAAGACGTCAGAGATTCCTTCTGTCATAATACAGCAGTTTTTTTCCCTAAAAGGCTTAAGGCAATCCATCTGCTTCCTGGAATTTGCCCATCAGGCTTTTCCACTCTGCTGTCCTTTCACTGTAATTAAGGCAAAATTAAAGGAAAAGCAAGCGTTCTAACTGAATTATTTTTCTAAACAGTCTAAGCAAAGACAAGCTGTGTTTTACTCATTTACAGAATTATGTTCTAAAACAGTAGCTTTTGCATTAGAAATGGAGTGTGTCAAAAAAACAAGACAGAAAAATGTTTTTTTTATGCACTTCTTCCAACAGGCAGTGGAGAAAAAGGCTGGCAGTTCCACTGTCCAGACTCACCAGCGCTCTGTCAGCGTCTCTCCGTTTTTTTCCCCACGTGCTTCCATTTTTGTCCGTTTCTCCAGCTCTCTTCTGCTCAATGTGTTTTGAAATGAGCTTGAATGCCACACTCGCTCACTGTGCCGCAGGACTTCCAGGGCCTCACCTAGAGTTGCCCCTCCACAGTGATTTCCCCTTTCCTTTGTTGACAGAAGAATGGTTTATTATCGCCAGCTTCGGCCTTCTCAGCGCTCTCACCCTCTGCTACATGATCGTCAAGGCCACCGTTAGCTTGTCTTCATCTGAGTAAGTACCCTTCATCTCTCACTCCCTTTTCTCACTCTTCTAACCATGAAAGTGCAAGACAATGGCTTTTGTTGTAACTTTGTTTTTTGTGTGTTAATTGGTTACTGAGTGAAGTGTATCTAATAGTGAAGCTGCTTCCTCAGAAACCAAACCAGAAACTCCATGAGTTAAGGTGGAACTGGGCATCCTTATTAAACTAGATTTAATAAATTTAATAAATAATATATAATACATTTTTCAGTTTCATTTTCATCTTGGTATGAAACTAAGCCACTTTGTTAACAATCTTCTTACACCATTACACCATGCCTGAAAGCATGATCTCTAATCCTCTATTTCAAATTGGGAGTAAGAGTGATAGTTTGGGCTGCATTGTACACAGTGGTTAGCATTCCTGCCTCGCAGTGCTTGGGCCCTGGGTTCAGTTCCAGACCTGGGTTGCTGTCTGCCCATTTTGTGTGTTCTCCCCATGTTTGTGTGGTTTTCCTCCAGGTTCTCTGGTTTCTTTCCACAGTCCAAAAACATATTGGTACTTTAATTGGCTTCTGGGAAGATTGGCCATAGGTGTGAGTGTGTGCATGTCTGTGTTTGTCTTTGTGTGTTCCCTGCAATGGACTGGCATCCCATTTAGGGTGTATCCTGCCCTTTACCCATTGCTTGCTGGGATAGGCGCCAGGTTCCCCACAACCCTGAATTGGAAGAAGCAATTAGAAATTGGGTGGATAGATGGTTGAAGTATGAATGACACTTCAGTGGCCAAGTATAAGTAAACTCATGTATTGTATATCTTTGGTTTAAGTCCTTGGATGTACGGTACTAGGGTTATATAGTGACTGGAAACTAACAAGTAGAAGAAAATTATTCTTCATACTTGTTAGGGAAGGATATTGCCGCACAAAATTTCATTAAAGTACTTACAGTAAAGAAACCTTGTTTTCTGGAACTTAATAGCTTATAAGCACCTCATGATGGTAGGACTAATTTCTGTTGTCTGTATTTTCCTCTTCTTTTGTTGTACCACGTTAAATTATGTTTATACATATTGTGATTTATTTTTATATAATTTTTGCTTGGTTGGGAATAGACTGATGTGACTTGCAAATTAATTATAATCATCCCTAAACCTCCCTGCAAGAGAGTGTGCAGCCTGCAATTGTTCTCAGTTGCAGCCTTGGATATATTTGTTTGTTTTTTAATAAAGTCCATTAACTGGAATGATTGGTTTGAATGGCACACTGTTTGTGGAGATGAAACCACAATCTGTCATTCTTCATGGCTTATAAAACAAGGTAGAATTTAGATTTCATAAAAAATTACATAAATTGCTCTGAGTAAAGAAAAGAGTACTTGGTGATGCAGTGACATGGAAGGACATTATCTGGTACAGAGGACGTAATTAACCTTGTTGGACAAATTAAGCTCAATCAATCTCAGCCTGACTTTGATAAGGTTCTGTGCATTGACAGTTCACAAAGAGCCTCTGTGGATCTCAGCCAAGAGTGGCTGCTTAATTAGGATGCCAACCAAGAGCTTCTTTTCAAGTTACAGAGCAATATATCACTTGCATAATGTACTCTAATAATAGATATGTAATAAAGACTTAAGAGTCACAGTATCTTTAGGAAATTGTTAAAGGAGAAAATGTTAAAAACTCATTTTAAATAACAAACTGTAAAACACAATAATGGTTAAATATCTACATCATTAAATATTAGAACTTTAAATTCTTTCAGCATTAAAGACTACAAATGATATATAAAATGTGTTTAAATTATGTACTGATGTACATACTTCAAAGCATGAAGGATGTCCGAACACTAATATTCAGGCTTAATTTAAAGACATTTGATATTGCACTTAATTTTTCCTTTTCATAGTCAAATCTGTGGACAAAGCACAGTGGCATTTCTTAATAGCATGAAGACAGATAATCTGGGGGATCTCTGTGTCCTTGAAATAGGAAGTATAACCACTTTGACATACAGGGTTTGCATTCCTCCTACCCCCTCATTCAGCTGTGTGTGATAACTGACAGGACATGTCTTGTTTAAAAGGAAGCAAGGCTGGTCAGTGACTTCTCTTGAGTCAAAGGAATCACCCAGCTGTATTGTCCAGCAGGGATTCTTTATCTGAGCTGTAGACAGGAGTAAAATGCTCTTGGGATAGAAGTGGAGAATCCAAACATCTATTTCATCAATACTGTTTAGTTTATTTCCATTTCCACCACATCAGACTACCTTGATTAAATATCTTCTTACGCTAAGGACTATTTTACTTATATTCATGGAACCATTTTATATATGCTGTATATATATGTTGTTTTGAAGGATGTCCGGTTCTAGTCAGCACTTTTCTATGCAGACCTCCAAAATGCTGGAATTCGCAGAAAGACATCTGTCTTACATAGATGTGCCTTATTCTGCTGTGACTGTGCAAAAACACTAAAGTGCAACTTGGTCAGATGTTATTGGGGGATTGATACAGAACCTCTACAAGAGCTCTGAAAGTTCTGCAATAGCATTCCTTCCTCTAATTGGTGAGATGACACACATTCAGGAGAAAATAAAAAATCTTTGTTTTGCTAGGGATGGATACGTGTTAAATGCAGTATATCATTTGCATAGTTCTCGTATTCATGCTTCCATTATGTCTCCTTTCTGTAAACACCTGAAAGAACTGAGATAATCTAATGTAAATCAGTACAAGTCTGTTCTTTTTGTAAGACTTGGTTCTCTCTTATCTTTTACAGTGTCGAGTGGTATTGAAGAATCATCTTTTGGATGAAGTTTCTGCAATCAAGCTCCACTGTTTAGTTCTAGTTCAACCATATGTTTTTATAACGCTTTTGTAAAGAGGGTAGTTTTTTAGTGAAAAATAATGCTTTTAAATAATAAATATTTTTAAAACCTTGACCGGGATTCCTTGTTTTATTATAAGTCTCCACTCTCTTTGGACAAAAGGTTTTTCTTAGTGCCAGTTTGTGTATTTTTCAAATTACACATCTCATTTGGAGCCTGCTTTATTGTTATATTACAGTGTCCATTCTCTACATTAAAACAGAAAAATATGAATTATTACACAGATATCTGATTGAAGTTGTGTATGAAATTGAAGGGTTTCTGGAAGGAAAGGGAGTGTTTGGCACAAATGAATGACTTGTGTGAAAAAGAATAAAGGAGAACTGTAAGAAGCAGGTGACAGGGCATGTGTTCTTGGGTGTCACAACATTAGTCAGAGAAGCTGGAAAATTACAGAATATGTGCCTCATCTTCTTGTATACCCTGAGAAAGGTAATTTGACTTATATATATAAGCTTGCATTCTGTTGCAATCTCATCTCGCATTATAAAATGTTTAGGTTTGAAGGTTTCTTTTGGTCAGTAATCTCTCTAGTTGCAGACCTCTGGGGAGTGAAGGCCAGTGGAGCTGTCTTTGAAACAGCTGCAGTATTAAAGGAATTATGTTTTCCTGTCATCTTGAGAGACATCCTTTAACCACTACGGAGATAAGTTTTTATTAGCATAAAGTAAGGAGTTCAAGAAAGTGGGTGATTTCTTGAAGTGTGCAATAAACTCTTTCAAACAAGATGCGTTATGTACAGTATGTGTCTTGTCATCTGGCAAACTCGAGATGACTGCTAGTGCTGTTTGTGTACCAGTAGATGGCGCGCTTCTGCGCATGCTAGAAAACTATAATTCAGTACAGTAGTGCTATACTACACAGTTTCCTCATTGTAGTTACACTATATTTCAGTTCCTGCCCTTTGTCCATATGTTAAAATAATATGACAGAATATGAGTAGTAGGTTACAGAATAAAATAATGGAAAAATGAATTATCTACAGTAAACACTGAATCTCAAGCTCGTCATGTGCAGGGCATTGCTGTAAATCCTGGCTTCTGAAAATACCACATGACTGCACTGTTTACATGCCTCCTCTCAACTTAAGAGAACTTTAGTTATTTCCTTCTTAAAACGTTTCTCTGTGACCAATTAGTTAAGCTGCAAGAACCACATCCATGACTAAGGTTTCACTTAACACGAACGTTGCTTGTGAATTATGAGGAAGGTTCTGTATATTTTAGTGTTATCTTCACATAATAATGCCACAAAATTTATAATTCAGAATTAACCTACTGTTCTTCAACTGGTATAACAGAGAATCCTTTCCTCAATGTATGAAATGTGTATTTATTTTTTAATTAGCATGAAACAGTTGTATGCAACTTCTCTTCGGTTTTTTCTCTTCTGTTCTCTGTTGTAAAACAGCAAGTGCTAATTCATTCATTCCTTTGATATATGTATATGTGAGTATTTCTCTTTTTTTTCTCTCGCTTCAGGTGGTCATTTCTTCAACCGAAACTCATTGTCTCCTCGGAATGTGGTGTGTGAAATTGAGCTTCCGGATATCCAGACTTCTTTGGACCTGTACGATGAAAATAAATCCTGAGGTCTCTTCCATTCTTCAGGTTCCCCCAATCCGGGATAGGCTTCAAAACCTCAGAGCACAAAAAACCCGGAATGTGGGGTTCTTCCCTATACCTTGTGAAAACAACATACTGTCATTACAGAATGTACTATACCTGTCGCGAAAGAAGAAAGGAATAATTCAGGTTTTCATTTATCATTGTTAGAATTATTCTTATCAGCTAATTCTTTTTTCTGATGAAAGAGAATCTTTGATAGTGAACTGATGTCATTATAGGAGTGTGGGAAGTACCTTGCTGTTTTTCTTTTTTTTTCTTTTTTTTTTAAAAGAACAATATTTACTAAAGAATCATCTGCATTGGCTGGATTTTAAACCGAATTCCTCATAACCATGCGTTTAAGTATATTTAGATAATCCACAAGCATCTGTGATTATGATTAGCTGATTTTGTTTTCTCAAATACAAAACAGACCTTTGTCAGAACAAGAGGATCTTTTGAAAGAAAATGAGACTGCCTTGACACAGCTGACATTGTTGTGGGTATGCCAGTCATGAGCCAGACATACTGCATCAGAATACGCTGTCTCTGCTGCCAGTGTGGTTGCCCACCCTTAGCTGCCTGGCAAAGAAACTCCAGTCATCTCTCACAGCCTGTCTTCTGACTTGAGGCAGTTAAAGTGGTACTGGATTCAAAGACTTGGCTTATTGAACCTGAAAGATATTTAATTGAAGAGTATTTTGCATTTCGCACCACACAAATTTCTTTGGTGGATCAGTATGTCGTGGTATTTAACCTTTCCATGTGTCAAATAAGATAGCTGCCCAAAAGATTTTTTTAAGCCCACATAATAACTTGGCCTCTAATTTGTCTTGAATCTTCAAAACCTCTCAAGGGGGCTACCTGTGTGTGCAGTTTTATTTCACTTAGAACTGTCTAGGAGGTTTTTTGTTGTTCTTGTGCTTTGCATAAGGTATAGTTTTTATAGACGAGCTGTATATAATTCTCATTAATCAATTGTATTTCCCTGGTAGTCCCCTAATATTGCTTTTGAAATGCAATTTTAATAGTACAGAGTTCTAATAATTTTCAGCTACCAAAAAGCATGCTTTCTTACATGGCTGATATTTCAGTGACCAGGATGAAGACAATGGCACAGATAGGTCAGAGCAATCTAAAGGAAATAACCAATCAGTATTTACTAGACTAAACAGTATATAATGCCATGGTATGTCAGTTCATTTTACTGTTTTTCATTACTGTATTGAGATATTAAAGAGTCACACAGTTTATTCTTAGAAGGTACTGAAGGTAAATCAGGTAAAATAAATCAAGGGTACATCTGAACAAGTTAATCTGAACAAGTAGAATTATCTGTCAATGTATACACAAGTTACGTTTATGTGTGGTACTAGAACAATCTACAAAAATGCCATATTGGGCTTTTTCAGCATTGAATATATTTATTATATCAGTGAATTGCCTCTGAGGCTAAGTTCAAGAACTATTGGAGTTCGCTTTTGAAGCAAGAATGTACAGTCTGGACTTCCAGAATTGCGCGGACAAATTCCTGATTTTCAGGTTTTAAAAAAAATCCTGTTAACAAAACAACTCAGTGCCATAGCCTACAAAAAATCTACAATTGTTCCAGAAAAAATTACAGTTAATTTTCTATTACATTTTTGTTCTTAATATGTGTGTTTAAAAAGTGATATGTCATTTGCAGCAAATTTTATCACACCTTCATAAAGTTATGTGGAACTTGGATTTTAAAGTGTCACCTTCTTGGTGTGTGGCTTTATGCACTAATAAACGTTATATGTTTAGGATACATACCTATTTGCTATTGCTAATGTGAAGCCAGGAAGTCCTTTACAAATAAAAGGGGATTTTGCATTGAATTGAGAATGTGGTGCTGACCTTATGGAACACTGAAAAGGGGTTATTCCTTTACTGGGCTGCCCTTTTAAAGAAATGAACGTATGCATCCCATAGCCACTTATTCTGGAAGTGCTCTATCTCCCATAATTAACACTTTCTTCTTTGTGGTTCTGCTTTACCAGCAAATGTATTTAGAATGCTGTAGCATATAATGTAGTTATAACAATCACTAACTACATTCCTAAGAGATGTCCTCTTGGGGAGTTACTTCAAAAGAAACCTAAGCTGCAGATATTGTACTGAAAGAAAGAGTTGTTTTTAAAAGTGAACTCATCTCTAAATATTATTTTAACACTTCTGAACTGCACCTACAGTAAATTACTAAATATTAAAGGATGTATGCCAATGTGTTTTCCTGACAAACTGTGGAAAAATGGATTATACAAAAAATCAGACACTTCTGGAAGATTTTCCAGAGTGAAATCAGTAGTGGTGATAAAATAAGATCTTCCTCATTTTTACATATTGTGGCCAAGATACTGTACAAAAGAAGTAGCCTACAGTACTGTTACTACTAAATCATGTACATGTACTACATGTATATGTACATGTACATACTAATTCATGTACATGTAAAGCCAGAACAGTCTAGGGCTTTGTAAAGAGATTAGGATGTGGAGAGCCCTGCTCATTATTTCTTTCTGCAAGTATGCTTCCTTTCACATACAAAAGAGTCTAAGTCCTCTTCAAAGGTTTTAGCATTGTATACTGCAAAACATTGCAGCAAGGTTCAGGGCAATTTTAAAGTGTCCAAATATGTATGGAATTTCAATGGGATTCACCAGCTAAATTGAGGTGTCTCTTTATAATGTTCCCCAATACAGATTATACTATTAAGCTTGTTCACATGCAAACCAAAGCATGTTGCTTAAAATAGTACATACTGTATTACTATTTGTCTTGTGTCCTATTTGAAAACGTTTACTGCAGATTTTAAATGCAATAAATGTATACAAAATAATTGCATTTGCTTTGTTTTTAAAAGTGATTTTTGAAAAAATATGTGCAAAAATAATTGATTTTCTGTAAAATATATGTGAATTAATGATAATTCTCCCAATTATTTAAACTGTATTTGGAAAGAAAAGTCCCATGTCGAGACTCTAAGAGGTTGTAAAGAGTAAAGAATTGATACATAATTAATATAAATAACTTTTGAAAAATAAATGAATTTGTGATGGCTGTAGCTGTTACTACAATTGGAGTAGCAGTTGTTAATCACCCTCTTATGTTTTTATAAGCTTTTTTAAATTTGAATCCAGCTTCTGTTTACCAGCCATATTTACCAGTCTTCTTTGTCTCATTGAACACTAAAGCTAGTTATCATCTTCACCTGTCAGCCCAACCAGTGTCCATAATATTTCCTGGTTTGAATGTCACAATGGGTGTAGAGTTTTGTTTTTATATTATGATTATTATTCAGTTAAAATGCATCTCAAATGTTGATGTCTTTCAAATACATTTTTTAAAATAAAATGGAAGAACCGAGTGTAGAAAACAAAAATGTTAATTGAGGTCTCATTTTCTGGTATTTATTTTTGAAACATGTAACTACATCCCTTCTGCCTTTTCACTTGGAGATCTAAAATAGCATTCCTCTGCCTAAAGTGCAAGACTGACGACCGTAACCAGGTATAAAGTGGAGGACAGCTGTACATTCCAATTACTATAATACTTTCAGCTTGGGGATATCAATGTGTTTTTGGTGTCTTCTAAATAAGTTCTTCCCTATGCATATGGACTCCTATGAGCTGACTATACTGGCTCTTGACAAGCCATTAGCCTGCTGTGGAGCCAGTGAATGTTACTCAGTCATTAAAAGCTCCTAATTAGAAACCAGCAGTAACAATTTGTTAAATTTGCAGAGATATATGGAGCCTCTATTGTAATTAATGATAATCTGCAGCACAGAATGTGTAGCACACAAACTTTGTTTTTCTGCACTGTTGAAAATGGGATTTCAGGTTATTTGAGTATTGGCAGGAATTCATTGAATGTTTAATGCTGTGAGTGTAAGTACACAGAAATTCCTCTTTGGGACATTTGTGTCATTGTTGATTGCCACAAGACATGCAAAGCTGATTCTTCTGTAAATTTAGCAGTATTCTTATTTGATCTCTGAATCCTCCACCATTGTTTCATTAACGCATGTTCATATGGTACGTGACAAGCAACGATGTGTGAGAAAGGTGATGTTAATGTTTAAGAAGAAGCTGGTTATTATCTTCATTTTATATGTGTCATAGATGTGAATGGCAAATATTGCTTCAGTCTTTTGGTCTTGCTCTATGGTTTGGGTCACTGTTTCACTGTGTGCCTTTGAATATAATTCCCTTTGTCTTTTCTCCTTCTGTCTCTCTTTGCAGTATTCAGACTTCAGATTAAAACATTTTGAAAAAGTTGCCTTTGTATTGCATTTTACTTTAAGTCTTGTATGTTTCTTGTATGTGTGTGCGATACAAGTGCCTGCACATCAGTATCTTTGGACAGTGTGTGAGTTTTGTGTGTGTTTTGAGCAGCTGCACCTCATATTAGAAAGTTACAGACTCTTTATTAAATTGATCTCTTGTTATGTAACTACAATTTAATACCACACCTCATCCTTCCTGAGAAGCTTTAATAGTATTTATGTATCCATTGTTTAAGTGACATATTAATAGGCAATGGTGTCAATAAATGAAAGCTGAATCTCACAAACAAACCTCTATATTTTTTACAAACATGTATCTATTTTATTTTTCTACACCAAAACCTAAAACACTAGTGACTTGTTCCTAGTTGAATACATTTTAAAAAGTGAGTAGTAAAAAAAAAGTGCAAGATGTTTTTAATTATCACCACAAAAACTACTTTATACACATTCCTATTTGTAATGAAACCTAGAGACAGTGTGATACTTTGTACGAGTACAGTCCATTTGTTCTGCCTCTGTTGTCAGTAAGTAATTGTTAATGATGTTCTGGTCATGGGCACAAAATGGAAACAACTGGCATGGTTGTCAATAATAATGCAAGAGAACACCTCAGTGACTTTGAAAGAAAAGTGATTGTTGGAGTATGAATGTGTATCGTCACCAAAAGGCAACAGTGGGAAGAAGATCACACTCCAGGATGTCCAGGATGTTGTGATGCCCAGTGAATTAAATCGAAGTGCCAGGCAAAACTAGGTGACATCTGCAGATCAATTGACTGCAAATTTCAACCTCGGGCATCATCAGCCATTATTCTATGGGGCATGATTTTAGACCAATTTAACTACAATTGGTCCACCAAGAACTCCACAGTGAGATACCATAGTCGGGTTACGATGCATAAACCGCTCGTCACCTGGCAATGCACAATTGTGAGCCCAGGTCTGCAAAGAGCCCAGACAATGGAGTACCAAAAGTGGAAAAACGTGATATGCTGTTTTCATGATATATCATGTTTTGCCATGTTCTTTGGAAAGTAGACACGTGACACCGACCTAAAGAACACTGAGTGCCGAGCAGTTTCAACAGTGAAGCGTTCGTGTTGTTCTGTAGTGTTGTAGAGCACATGTTTCTGGCATGGATTGGGTGAAATCGTTGGTTCAGTATGCAAAGTTGAGTCTGATCACAACTTAATGGTACAGAGTGATCATCTTAACCCCACATTGCAGCAATTCTTTCCTGACTGGAGGGTTGTCTTCCAGTCTAACTCTATTATGCCACATAAAAGGATTCATCTCACCTGGCTCCTTTATGTCAAATGTGTCAGCAAATAAAGTGATTTTCGACATAAAGATAAGGACCGCTGACAAAATTATTTCTCAAGAAAGGTTTTTTTTTCCATATTTGCATAAAGGAATATACAGTATAATAGATATAATTGCAGCTTACGCATGCTGACACAGTTACCTACTTGAACTAATAGATATAATAGCTTACATAGATATAATAATCAAATGACTTAAGGTACAAGAGATTCTACTCTTTTTTCTACTCTCAGTTTTTCTTGAAAGCTCCGCTCTGCTTACCAACAGAAAAGAATGTGAGTCCTCTACCTTTATTGGGCTTCAAATACTATATACTGTAATTAGACCGTTGTTCTTGTTAAAATTTTGCAGTTAGTGAAATCCCAGGTTTTCGCAGTCCTCTTAGTTATGAGGATATGTCGGTTTATGACTACCTCAGTAGTTACATTAAACAATCGCTTTAAGAATTTATTCATTTTTTAATTGAAATTTTCTTTTGCATTTGCTATTTCTTGATTTGATTAAAAAAAACTCATTTTGCTTGCTTGCAATTAAAAAAGTACTTTCTAATGAGTTTCTTTCTTGTGAAACCGCTAGTATAATATTTGAAAATAGGTTAGGGGGATCTCCTAAATTAGTTAAACAGTGTTGGTGGAGATGCGAAATTTAGTAAGGGAAGAAAGTTACCTTGGAGACGTAAAGTCTAATATTACCCGATGGAATTTTTTATTATTTCCACTTTTTTTTCTTCGGTTTCCAACTTGAATAATAAACTGCATTATCTCTAATCGGGAAATGTAAATGCTCGTGGTCCTCATACGCACATCCTAAAAAAATGAACCTCAACCCTGGAAATTTAATGTCTTTAGAAAACCCTTTTAAAAAACCACAAACAAAACCAGCAAGAGCAGAAGTCGTTAAACGGCCTTAAAATTACATTTCCAGTTCAGCCATAACAAACGTCATGCATCTTCGTTCCTACAGTACAGTACATAGCCACAGTGCACGATATATCAGACTCGACGTGCATCCTGATAGCAGTTAAACCGTTTTACTGTTCATGGCAGCTTCGTTATTATGAATTTTGCCAAATAAACCGAATTGAACCGTGTGTTCCCCCCCCCCCCTTTCTCTTGGATATTCTTCTGGACTGCCTCCAAGATACAGCGTGACGCCAGGGTAGCTGGGGCTGTGTTTTCGTCAGTGGCTGCAAGGGGGGACGGCTCACTGCAGCACCAGACAACACAAGATCGCATGGGCGGCCCATGGAGTAAATTAAAACAAAACAAAAATAGGGGGGGGCAGGCAGAACGTCTGCGGCATACGAACGACAGTAAACTTCCCACGACCTGCCTTTAAAAAAAAAAAACCCAAGATCTATTTGTTTTGATAGTCGAGAAAGTCTTTTTCCAACGTGCAGATGTGGATCGTACCGGAGGAGGTTTTGCTGGCCAACGCGCTGTGGGTTAGCGAAAGGGCGAACCCGTTCTTCATTCTCCAGCGGAGGAAGGGGCACGGTAAGGGAGGGGGCTTCACAGGTAAGAGATTAAACTGCAAACGTTTGATTATTCATACGTTTTCTTTCTTCTTCGGCTCTGTTTAGACAGATCAGCTTAACGCCCGAGGGGGTGTGCTATAAAAATAATGTTACTGCCCCAAGTGATTGTGCTTGTTTTTCTTGTACAGTAAACCAGGCATTTTAACTAGTGACAGCAAACCTGCTTACCTAGAAAAGGCAACTAAACGACTTCGCAAACTGGCTGGTTTATGTAGCGTTTTTTTTAGTTGATCTCTCCATGTTCTTAAGTTTGACGGTTGGCCTATATACAATGAAACCAAACATTGAATATAAAGGCTTACGCGACAGCACTGTCAGGAATCAAGATTCATTTGAAGTATATAAGTTTATTATTGCGTGTGTGTATATAGCCTAAAATAGACTTAAACATTCAGCTAAAAATGCTGAGGCACTGAATGATAACATCTTTTAAAAATGTTTTGTAAAGAGACCGGAAGGGTTTTGTTGTACTTTTTATGGGGGGGCATCGTTAGTAAACACAGTAATTAAACACAATGTATAACAACAAGAAGCGTTTCAACAGCAGCTTGTCTTTCTTCTCTCACGGGAAGATAATTAGGCTATTCTCGGCGAAGACGCAAACAGGAACTGCTTGAACTCTTGACGTGAATCTCACAGGTGGTTAAAATACTGTCGAGGTCTGTGTTTTTCTCGTGATGCTGCTAAGTTCGATTTTCTGGAACGTCACCTCAGTGTTTCTAAGGCTGGAATTTTATAGGCCAAATACTGAGATATCAAAGGGTGTCATGTAATTTTAGGAGTCCCACCTCTTCCCCTTTTCCGATTGGGGAAGAGCTGGGAATCGTGTTTTCGGTTTGGTGTATTTTCTTGTCAATCTGAAGGAAGAGGATTCTGTCATTCAGATCACCTGACAACAGCGTTATTTTTTTTTTTCAGTAATCGTACATATCTGAGAAAAGCAAATGTGGAAGTACTGGATTTCACTCCACTTTCTTAACTTTGTTGTCGTGGTGTGCATTATTACAAATTACAGTACTGTTTGTTTTTACCTAATTGCTCGTGCATGTTGTAATATAACATTCACGTGATTTCATAGTGCCAGTGACATTAAAACAATGATTTGAAGGGTTATTACTGTTTATTTATGATGTATTCCAGCAACTACAGCAGGCTTTATCATAAATATTTTTGTAATAGTTTGCTATTTTTTCAACATTCTTATTGACACTGTATTTACACTGTAAGGTGAACTTCTTAAACTGAAAAGTGAAACACTTTTGTTATAAGCCGGTTAACTTTAAAAACAGCACAGATTAATTGTGTTCTGCAGCAGGCCATTTGAAGCACACTAATGATTCTTTAGAATATGACTTCCTCTGAAGTGAATTGGCCAGTTTTATTTATTCTGCGACAGCGATAGAGGTCATGTGGTTTCGGCTCAATGATGAATGGCAGGTTACGTTTCTTTTTGTCTTTAATTCAGATGCTCCTGGATTTATATGAATGACAATTTTCGACGAAAACATTCAATACCAGAGAGTACCATTTCCTTAAGTGAAAGCTGATACTATAAAAGTTGTGACAGTAGAAATCATAAACTCTCTAAAAAAACTTCAAAAACAAAATGTAGGTCAATAGTAACAAGAAAAAAGTTGTCTGGAACTTTACGGCATGTGAAATCGATATTAATTTTGAAGGAATTTAAAACAGCTAATGAGGTCACATGGGCATGCATTCAATAATTTTAATGTAGAAAATTGTTTTACCCATTTTTGTTTTACGTTTGTCAGTAGATGTGTGCTTAACTGTGTTTGCAAAGTGTCCTGAGCAATTTGCATTGAAGTCGTTCTGTAGTACAGATAAACCAATACAGTTTGTGGCACTGGAATTTGTATTTAATTCTCTGAACATGCAGTGTGTAATTGCACATGCATCTCTTAACTACAACTGGTCATGTTTCCCATGTCAGATGGTAACTATTATTTTAATATTGCTCTAAAGTACACACTAAAAACTGGTAATTTTGCTCATTATTGTATAGTAACAGATAGAGTATCCATCTTCTTTGTGCGTTTGTTGGTTTTCTTCTTCACTGCTTGTTGTTTGTGTTGTGTTTAGGTTTGCTGGTGGGTACCTTAGATGTCGTTCTGGACTCCAGTGCAAGAGTTGCCCCCTACAGGATACTCCACCAAACTCAGGACTCCCAGATTTTTTGGAGCATTGCATGTGGTGAGTACAGTTTTTGAGGGCTTTTTACCTTTTAATCAGTGTGGATGTTCTTCACCATGTTGTGTGAAATTCTTCATCAGAGGAGCAGGACACAGTCTTGTGCAGATTCAGTTTTATGGAGCTCGATAAAGACAGCAATGCACGCTGGTTCTGTCCTGCAGAACAGACACCCTGAAAGGCGTTTCCAATACTTATATACAGTATGGTTTCTTAAGGAAGTTTGGTTTCACAGTTTTATGGATTGTTATGGATATTTGTCCTGTCCTTTGATATGTAACTCATGTTGATCTGCTTTGCCCTGCTCCAAGTCTTGCCTTTTGATATGCAGCAGACATTGATCTGCTTTATCCTGTTGATGGGTGTTGGTCCTGTTCTTTGTTATGTAGAGTTTAGTCACTGTCGCTGCTAAAGTCAGCTTTATTTCATCATAGCATAACTTTTGCTGAAGGGTAAATTAACAGATCCCAGTAACACCACCCACTGTGTGGTTAAGTAGTAATATTGCAATGCTGGATATGTGCAGTATTTGGATTCCCACTTTAACTACTAGAAGACAAAAGTTTTCACATTGGTTCTGGAGGTCACAGTGAAATCTCTGTTGGAATATTATTAACATAGACGCCTGCTGCCTTTTCCTAGGCTCATCCCGTAAGGAAATCACAGAGCACTGGGAGTGGCTGGAGGCGAACCTGCTACAGACCCTCTCCATCTTCGAAAATGAGGAGGACATCACAACCTTTGTCAAGGGCAAGATCCAGGTAGGTCAGGCTGAAGGAGGAGAATCTGGTGTGGGTGGACTAGATGGTCTTATTTCTCTTCCTGACTGTTCATGCATTACAAATTGGTACTGCCTTGCACTGATCAACTTAAAATAGTAGAATACTAAAAATCTGTTATGCTAAATGTTTTGATGGAAGACTTATTTCTATCCATAGTACAATTTCAAAAATAGAGCATGAAAATATGTTCATATGCAACCCAGACTGCAGGACTACAAGGTATGAAAATGCAGGCTGTTTTGTGTGGTGGTGGGTGCTTGCGGTTACATGTGAAAGCCTGATTACCGAAGTTTATTTCCTTCATAACCTCCAGGGAATCATTGCAGAGGAGAACAAGAGCAAAGAGACGACCGAGGAAGAGGATTCAGGGAAGTTCCGGGAGGCAGAGCTGAAGATGCGGAAGCTGTTTGGAATGCCCGATGAGGAGAAACTGGTGAACTACTACTCCTGCAGCTACTGGAAGGGGCGTGTCCCTCGCCAGGGTTGGCTCTACCTGAGTGTCAATCATCTCTGTTTCTACTCCTTCCTGCTTGGCAAGGAAGGTGAGAGACGTGTCTGGAGAATCGTTCACATGGGAACCCTGTGCTGTGCTTTATCCATCAGCCAGCAAGGTTTTGGTGCTAGATATCAGGCATGTGGAATAGTTAGTCTTTCCTTACAGACACATAGGAAGGGGGGCTACATTTGATCTTGTTTCAGAATTCACGTGGGAAATAATTGTTTTACTGCACTGTCCAATACAAACATTACAAACGTTACCAGCAGAGAAGGTGATGCAGTAGTGTTACAGGAAATAAGCACGTTTCTTTACATTGTCTGAGAATGATATTGCAGTGGGACCAGAAGATTTCCTGAGTCAGTTACTGTTACACCTTGGGACACAGAGGTGTCTCACAGATGGGAGTAGTGTAAGTTCACAATATAGGAGGTGAGGCCCTCCATAATGGTCTTGGCCTTCTTGACAACCTTCTTGATTGTCAGGTTTTACTTAATAAGAACGTAGGACATAGAAGTCACTGACATTGGTAGTGTGCGGTCTTTTGTTACTTGCTGCATCTGCCAGAACTTTCCCATTCGCTAACCGTTTTTGTTCTTCCCCTTCCCTGCAGTGACGCTGGTGGTCCAGTGGACTGATGTGACTCAGCTGGAGAAGAACGCCACTCTGCTGTTCCCAGAGAGCATCCGCGTCAGCACCCGGGACTCTGAGCACTACTTCTCCATGTTCCTCAATATCAATGAGACCTTCAAACTGATGGAGCAGCTGGCCAACATCGCCATGAGGCAGCTGCTTGACAACGAGTCCTTCTCTGCTGACCGCTCACTCCCCAGGCCTTGCAAACCTCTGAAAAATGTCTCTGCACTGAAGAGGTACAGTCATTTATCTTTGTTGCATCTTATGTACGTCTTCAAGTCACTTCCCCTTTTAAATGTAAACAGTTCTTCACCGTTGTTTTTTTTATGAAGCACTAGTGACTTGATACATGAAGGAGCATGTATTTTACATGGGCTGCATTATTTGTTATATGGTTAAGTTTTAGACAAATAATACCAAAAATATATAAATTTTAAACAATACATGTTTAACAGTTTGTTTTGACCACAACTTCGATGATATTTTCATCCCTTGTCTATAAAGAATTTACTTACCGATAGGACAGTATGTTGCTGGAAGAGAAAAAAGAGTTTGGTCAGATCTTACATGTATTGAAAACTATAGTTAATAAATTTCAATAGGCATCATCTCTCAGAGGAATGCATGTTACATCTCACTGCAGGTTTTAGTTTCACATCCCTGCTTTAGAGGAATAGAAGCATTATTTGCTCTCACTGGTGGTTTAAAACAATTAAAGAGAGGGAAGTTGGCAGATGGCCACAGAAAGCCTTCAAAATTAATCATCTTCACAAATGCTTGAGTGGGGAGTTCTTTCAGATATATTACTTTTTACTTTAGCTTAGATGGTTACGTACAGTACACCTGCAGATGGAAAATATTCCTGAGATAACATTATGTGGATTGAGATTAGTTTCAGTTAATTTACCTAGATTTGCATTCTGCCTTAATTGGCTTCACAAGTGCATTGCTAGTTGAGTTCCTGAGATTGAGAATGCGGAAAGCATTTGAGGAACCGGGAGGTTAAGGTCACATTAAGGTGTGGAATCTGTGTATCTTTCACATCACACAGATTTTAGCAGCTGATTTCTGATTGGTTGCGTCTGGGTGGTTTCAGGGATCTGGATGCACGTGCGAAGAACGAGAGGTACCGCGCCACTTTCCGGCTGACTCAAGATGAGAAGCTGGATGGTCACACAGATTGCACCCTGTGGACCCCCTTCAGCAAGATGCATGTGGCAGGACAGATGTACGTCTCCAACAATTACATCTGCTTCTCCAGCAAGGAAGAGGACTTTTGCCAGCTAATCATCCCATTACGAGAGGTGAGCGTATTATTGGGCTCAAACTGAATTGTATGCAATAAGGATCATTGGGGGGAATATAAAGTACTTGATTTGAGTAAAATTTACTTATTTTTTACATGCTCTGAAGACACAAATTCCAAATGTTTCAATATGATTCACAATGTTACATATTAAGTACAGTCGACTCGCAACTTTAATGAGTATAGTCAAATTTTACCCTTATAAGCCCTTTAAAAAAAACCCTACTAACCTCTTATGGTAATTTAATATATTAAACGTAAGTATAAAAACAGTAAATAGACGTAAATAAGATTACTCTATACGCTCCTAAACTGGCTCATATAGACGTGCTTGACGGATTTTTCAGGGAATAAACAATTTTTTCAATATTTTTTACTTTCTGGGGCCGAGCATGTAAGTTGTGAGCACGTAAGTAGTGAGTTGACTGAATATGCAAAATTGTGGTTAAATGTAACTGAGGGCTTATGTGGTGGAAATCACTGGAGTGTGTTCCGCCTTTCACACTACCTGTTGGAAGTTGGGCGGTAACCTTTGCCTCCTGTTCCCTGCTGTGTAGGTGACAATTGTAGAGAAAGCAGACAGCAGCAGTGTACTGCCTAGCCCCCTGTCCATTAGCACGAAGAGCAAGATGACTTTCCTGTTTGCCAATCTGAAGGACCAGGACTTTCTGGTGCAGAGGATCTCTGATTTCCTGCAGCGTACCCCCGAGAAACTGTGGCACAATGGGAAAGAGCAGTCTGTAAGTTCACCCATTCTGTTATTTCAGCATTCTGCTAAGGTTAGTTTCCACCCTCCTTTTTTTGTCCACTCTGATTTCTCACTTCTCTTTTGTGCACTATTTTTGTTCCTAATATTAAATCCGGTGTCTTATGGGATGTTAGTAACATCCCTAAGTATTAGGTGAGAGTAATAGGTTTCTATGAAAACATCTGTATGCAGGGGACACATTTGGCACTTTATAAGCTCATGTACGTTTTCAGTGACATTATGCCATTAGCTCTCTATTTTCTTGTTGAAAATCTTTCTAGTGTTGCAGTGCACTAGGGGAATGACTGCAGCAAAGGAATTTAGTATAAAGTAGTACATAAAGGATAATGTATACAAGTGAGACCCTAATAATTGAAAACAAATTGCTAATTAAGGCTATTCCACCCATGCTGGTAATCTAATACTTAAAATAGTATTAAAGAGAAATGGTCAGACATGGAGATATTTTTTTCTTTCTTTCATTAGGACCCCCCCAGTCCTGGATTCCCCTTGTCTGCCAGCCCCCCGTCACCTGGCTCCAGCCAGCCGGGACGGTTCTACAGTCCTGACCTGCCCACTGCTGCCCAGGGCCTCCTCAGCATCTTCAGGAGGGACGCTCCTGAGGACCTGGGGCCCAAAGCAGTGAGTGTCCACCACCGCGGGTCAGGAAAACACAGGACATAGCAAATAATGCAAATGTGCTTTCTTCATAGCGAAATGTTGTACATCTTAAAGGCTACAGGGTGTACTGCCTTTTTTTTCTTACAAGATATCAATCCAACTATCAAGCAAGTATTTGCTCAATGGATTATTTTAAGATGTTGTCTGTTGAAAAACTCAGATAAAACCTGCTAGGCTGTGATCCACAAGGACCAGGTCTAATAATTCCATAAAATGGCCTCCTACTTTTTGTAGCCTTCGTGGTGTGTGATTTTCTTTCATGTTTTTGCTTTTCTGGAAACATGTCGGCGAAGCAGCCTCTAATTGCGTAATCCTGTCTTTCCCACGTCTGTTCCTTTGACAAGACCAAGGAGAAGATGAAGGAGGAGTTGTGGAATATCCATTTCTTTGAGTATGGCCGGGGGGTGTGTATGTACCGCACATCAAAGACGCGGGATCTGGTCCTGAAAGGCATTCCTGACAGCCTCCGAGGAGAGCTGTGGTTGCTGTTCTCAGGTATTCAGGCATTTGAGCTGCGTCTGCTAATGTTCAGATGATGAAAGCTTTTGTCTTTTATCCAAATTTTCAATCGGATACAAAATTGTTTAATTTTTGAAGGTGTTACTGCATACTGTGTATCTAACAAGAAATCCTACAGTGTCTCAAGGGTAGGTGAGGTGTTTACAAGAGGGTAGGCCTAAATTAGACCAATAGTATTTAAAGGGATATTGCTGATACTGTAAGGGTAACACATCTTTAATCTTTTTTAAAAGCGTTTCTCATTCATGTATGGCCTTCTAAGTGACCTATTTGTTTTAGTTGACCTGCCTTTTTGTGGCTGAAGTTTCCTTATTAAGCACTATCCAGTTATCATAGAAATAGTGATAAATAAGACATATTTTAGTAGTTCATCTGTCGTGAGAGCTGTTTTGGGCTCTCACTGTCATGGTCCTTATACATTTTTTACTTTTTGGAAATTTAAAACGGTAAAGCTCATTTTTACAAATTCTTACAATGTATCATTTGTATAGTCTCTTAATAAAGAGATTATAATCTCTTTATTTATAATTAAATGTAATTATTTACTGAATAATAATATAATATAATTATTACTGAAATCTGTATGATTAAATATAATCAGAAAATACTTATTTATATATGAAGGCAAGTTATGAAACAGAAGCATTTGTTCTAGTTAAGTAAAATTTGTGAGGAAGAGAATCTTGCTTATCCCAAGCTTTGGTTTCTGTTCCCAAAAGCTCTTTTCTAAGTGAAATCCTCAGAATCTGCACTGGAAACTCCATGGTGAGCTGTTCACTTTCACCACTTTACTGTATATCTCATTGAAAAGAAAGTTTAAATTTCATTTCTGCTAAAATGTATGGTGTGGTTTTCATTTTTGCCCTTTTCTGATCCAGCGAGGACCCAACATCCACAGATTCCAGTTAGAATTTGCTTAAATCGTTAATAACCAAAAACCTCTGAAATCACTTTTATGATCCACGTTTTTATCTAAATACTTAAACTCTAGGTCACATGGAATCAGTCATAAGAAAAAAAAAAGGAAATGGGGGCGTGGGGAGAAAAGAATGCCAACAAGTCCTACACTACGGCATGACGGCATGAAATGAAAGGCACTTCTGGCTTCCCGCAGGGGCACAGAATGAAATGGCAACACATCCGGGCTACTACGCCGAGCTGGTGGAGCAGTCCATGGGGCGCTGCACACTGGCCACAGAGGAGATCGAGAGGGACCTGCACCGCTCGATGCCTGAGCACCACGCTTTCCAGAACGAGATGGGCATCGCCGCCCTGCGCCGCGTTCTCACCGCCTACGCCTGTCGCAACCCTAACATTGGCTACTGCCAGGTCAGAGGCTACCGCAGGCATTGGCGCAAGCGCTGTTACATACGTGGATGTTAGCACAATTGTCAATTGTATTGTAAGGGTTATTGTGAGGAAATGCACACTTTCAGGGCATATGTATTTACTTCAAGTCCCGTCTTTAACAAAAAAAGACTGTACTGGAAAGCTTGACAAATAAACTCTGGAGATAGGATCTAAAGAAAGAACAAGAAGAAAAACTGCTTTTAATTCAATAACGTTTTGTGCCGCTTTTGCCATGCTTACAATCTGGTCTTTAAGTCTTAAAAATATTTAAAGAGGATTTGAAAACTTCAGCTGCTCAAGACTTTTGATATTTGTTCTCAAAAACATTGCCTGGGTTCCACATTTTAGGTTGTAAACAGTTCTAGAGAAGTAATACTGGAAGGTTTTAGAATGAGACGGCTGATTCATAGCAAGCCTTTTTTTGGAATTAGCTTCTATTGGTCGACACAAAAGAAAACTTATGAGGAATGTGAATTAAATGACACAATTTGGAATACACCATCACAGAAAATATATGTATTTGTGGGACTCGACAAATGCTCATTAGAAAACTGTTTTGCAAAATGAAGTCCTGACATATCAAAAAGAAAGGGGTAAACTGTTAAAGTATTAACAACTAATCTAATCAATGCCCAGTAATTGAAATTGCTTCCCGTTCACCCAGGCAATGAATATTGTCACCTCGGTGCTGCTGCTGTACTGCAGTGAGGAGCAGGCTTTCTGGTTGCTGGTGGCTCTGTGTGAGAGGATGTTGCCAGACTACTACAACACCAGGGTGGTTGGTAAGTAGGATGCATCACACATTTAACTTGAGCTTTAAAAAACTTATCTGCCTGCTTTGAGGAAACTAGAATATTCATTGACTCTGTTTAGACCACAGTTGACTTGTGACCTGTTTGTAAGGTGACTTATGACCCATTTGTAATTCTTCTGTATTCAGTGAAAAGCATGTGTATTGTTAGTTTGTTGTAATTGTGGAGTAACTTTTGCAGAAGGAGATCTGCAAAACATTCTGTTCTACTGGATCAATTGTGTCTGTAAACATTAATTCAGCTTGAATTACCTTAAGTTCTACTTGTGTCTCCTATAACTCCCTCTTTTACCTGGGGGTCTATCTCGTCTGTGACTGTTTAATGTGCGTCTCACTTGGGCATCTTGTTGTGTCCATGTTCCTCAGGAGCTCTGGTGGACCAGGGTGTGTTTGAGGAGCTGACACGGGAATGCCTTCCCCTTCTGTACGAGCGCATGCAGGAGCTTGGCGTCATCTCCACCATCTCACTCTCCTGGTTCCTCACTCTTTTTCTCAGCGTCATGCCCTTCGAAAGCGCGGTTCTGGTCGTCGACTGTTTTTTCTATGAGGGCATCAAGCTCATCTTTCAGGTGTCTCTGGCTGTACTCCACGCCAACATGGAGCAGCTTCTGGCCTGCAGTGATGAAGGAGAGGCCATGACTATCCTGGGGAGGTCAGTAAGGGTTTAAGCACAATCCTGCATGACATCCGGACTGTGCTTACTGATTTCCCAAAGGCTTGTACCTTAATGTAATGAGCTTATTTGTGTGTATAACATAAACAAAAATATATAACATATATGAAAATCTGTGGAGCTCAGGTTTCATACTTCCAGAAAACAGCTGATAATGTTGGTCATATTATCTGTATCTATGATACAATAATAAATATGACCATATAGTTTTATATTCACAGAAATCTGGGGTCTCTAGTTGGGAATCAAAATCTTATGTTTAGGATAAAGTTCTTCTGTGCATATTGTGGACTTGAACTAAAGCCTTTCAGTTTCCACAGCCTAAGCCCCACCATGAAATAGAATGTGAACAGTTTCACTTTTTTATGTTATTATATACATATAGCAATACATAAAAAGTGGTCTGACAGTTATAGCACAGTACGCAAAGGTATTTCTGTTGAGCTGGAATGGCCTCTACTAAGTAACACTCCCAAGATTTTTCACGTGTTTTGCCATGATTTTGTTTCATAATTAGTTGTCAAAAATGTTAAATTTATATTTAGCAAACTTTTTCTCACTTAAATCAAAAGCCAAATTATTGCTTTTGTATTATTTGAGAGATGTAAGTGTTGCCACCATGGGCATTCATTCTTCTGTCCTTTTCATCAAAGGTACCTGGACAATGTTGTGAACAAACAGACCCCCTCTCCACCCATCCCTCACCTCCATGCCTTACTGACGAGCGGGGATGAGCCACCACCTGAAATAGATGTGTTTGACCTCATAAAGTCATCCTACGAGGTCCGGGTTCATATCAAAGACGTCTTCCTCTATGTACTGTACCTGTAGAGCAGGGAGAGGCTGTAGCCAAGGAATCAGATGTAAAAAGACACCAAAGGCAGTTTTCACAATTACCAGATTTATTCAAGTGGTACCTGCTACAGAAACATTTGTTGTCTACATTAGGTATTATATTGTAACCACACTGCTAAATTCAGTTTGCTATAATTACATTAAGGTAAAGGAATTTAGAAACTGAACTTGCAATTTCACAGCATGTTGAATTGCATTATGTGGTCCCTGATATGTTCCCCTCAATAGCTTATAATGCATATTGTTTTGCTGAATCATTCATTCATTTGTCTTTCTTGCTTGATGTAGAAATTTGGCACTCTGCGGGCAGATGTCATTGAGCAGATGAGATTCAGGCAGAGGCTGAAAGTGATTCAGTCATTAGAGGATACAGCGAAACGAAGTGTGGTGAGTACAGCATACAGAAAGATTGTGGTACTATATATAGTAGGTTCTAATTCTTGTTAAATGTACATGTGCAACCAGTTTGCCTAGTTTGATGAGAGGCTGCAAAATGAACAATCTAACAAATTTATTTCAGTCATTGTAAAATGACTGAGGTCCCTTAGGCATGGGCCTGTAGAACTGTACTGTTTGTGTGAACACAGTCAGACATTCCTGACAGTGTGAAGTTAAGGTGTAATATTTTCTGTCTGTTTTCAGGTGAGAGCTATCATGACTGAGTCAGCCTTCGGTATAGATGAGCTGGAAGAGCTGTATGTTCTCTTCAAGGTGAGTGTACATTTCCTCTGCTTTACTGTGTGCAGTCCTGTGTAGCTGAACAATGGCGAGAAGTACTGTAAGTAAAATGAAACTAAAGCCTTCATGCAACCACGATCGCTCTCTGGTTGAGTGAAGGCTTTTCATTCATCACTCCTAGCCAAAGCCGACCCTTGATTCTCAGTGAAGATCTTTAAACTCACATCCCACCACTAGCATGTTCAGAAGAGAGTTGAGACAAAGAAAACAATGTTTTATTGATGTTAGAAAAGTACAGCAGTACATGTCTCACTATAATGTGGGATCTGACTCTTAACACTGCTGTAACATCTGACTCTAACATTGCGATTGGTTGGCGGTGTGCAGGCTAAACACATCATGAGCTGCTACTGGGGGGCAAGTTCCAGCGCAGCAGAGCGCCATGACCCCAGCCTGCCCTACCTGGAGCAGTACCGCATCGACATGGGTCAGTTCAGCCAGCTGTTTGGGGCGCTCACGCCTTGGAGCTGCGGGGTGCACACCCTCGCTCTTGCTGCACGCCTCTTCCGGCTTCTGGACCAAAACAAGGACGGCCTCATCAACTTCAAGGAGTTTGTCACCGGCCTCAGTAAGTGATTCCTCAGGGTGCCGGAGCCAGTGCTCGACTGGACATTGTCATACAAAACCTGTGGAATATACAGCATATAGAAAGACAAAATTAAAATAATTTGGGTTAAATATGAATTATGAAGCTGTGGACCTTACATCTAGTCTGTCATGAGGTGCCTCCCATGTTAACTCTGGTCTTGTCTGTCAGGTGGGATGTACCATGGAGACATGACTGAAAAACTCAAGATGCTTTTCAAACTGCATTTGCCTCCAGGTATGGTGAATCAAGCACAGGAAAAGCACTGCCCTGGAATTATAGAACTTTTCTGTGTCATTATGAGTGCCCTCTAATGATTAAACATTTCCAGTCACTTTAGGAAACGAATTATTTTGTCTTATCTTCATGCCCAGGTCTATTATGCAAAGGTCACCACAAGAAGTACAATATTTACTTTTTTTTAAAGGAACCTGGCTTTAAAAATAATTACTGTGTTTTACTGAACAGCTTTTTTATTGTTTCGTGTGTTACTTCCCATTGTGCTAACAAAAGAACAAAACAATTCTGGCTGTGTATTCTTGTAGTAACTAGATTTTTGTTCTCCAACTTGCTATACAAAATGGTCTGTTTCATGTTAGCAATTAAACTTGTAATCTAGTGGACTTATAAAATAATAAAAGATTAATTAGATCTCTATGTGCTTAGTATCTAAGCGCATGTCAAAATAATAATGAATGCACAGTAAAATATATCGTTTGTTCTTTATGTTAGCTTTCTATAAAGGGGTGTGAAAGCTGTAAGGATTGGTAAAAGCCCACACAAGCCAGTCTAATAATTTGGTGGTTGGAAACTGAGGTAACATAAGAACTTTTCTAACATTTCTTTTGAAATAGAGTGTTTAGGTTCAAAATGGCTGAAGTCTCTTTCGAGCTTCCTAACAATTGTTACATGTAGTAGGATAAATGAGGGTATAGTGCTGAGTCCTGTCATCTCTCCTGCCTGCTCCTCAGCCCTTTGTCCAGAAGAGGCAGAATCGGCACTAGAGGCCACTCAGTTCTTCACAGATGATGCCAGCCCACAAGGTATGTCCCTCCACACAAATGCCTTATAAAACATGACTTTGATCTTAGTTGCCTGTTATTAAGTCCTTGGCTCGGTGGTAGATAGTTCAAAGTAAGGTTTTTGATTTTGTTTTTAGCTGGAAGGCACTCTGTCACTAATGAAATCTCATTTTATTGCTTTTGTTACAATCTGTTAGAAGAAATCTGTTCTCAGGGAAAAGGGGTGGCAAAGCAGCATGATCAGATTTTGAAGACGCTGTTCTGTGAACTCTGCCTTTTTCTCGCTTTCCTGATCTGTCTTCCTTTCTGTTACACTCTGCTTGTGACCTGTTCCCTGCTTCTTCAGATTCTCCCTTCCTGTCTGAAATGGACTTCCTGCTGCAGGACGTGATCTCAGGTTTGTCTCTGATGTCTTGCTCTGTGGATTTCTGCTCTGAAATGTATTTTTCCTATCTCTCTGGTTAGAGTTGGCTGGTAAAATGTTGTTAACTATGTCTAGTAGTTTAGTGACTTTAAAGACTTCTCCCTCTGGAATTTTAGTTATCTGTGTTCCTTAATTATTGATGGAGAGCAGACAGATAGGAGAAATGTATCAAGAGTAAGGGAATTGACAGGAAAAAAATTTTAATTTTTTTCACCATGTCACTGTGGTTTTCAAGCTTAGGCTGTATAAAACATTAAGGTTTTTGACTATTAAGTAATGAACTGGGTATAATTAAGTTACAATGCTAGTGCTCAGTGGATTGTCTGTCCTGTCGTTTTCTGTAGGGGAGAATGCCAAACCTATTGCAACTGAAGAAGGGACAAGCAATGGAAATTCAGAAAACAAGAAAGGTAAAGTGTAAAGTGGCAGTTAAAGAAAATAATTGCTTGTTTCGTGATGTCTTTTACATGGTTTGGTCTTGCAGTAGTTTGGGATTTGTTTAGGTCAATGATTTATAATTTATTCTTATATGCGTTGCATCTCAAGGTTCTGTGTTAATTTCAGGTAATCGCAAGGACGTTTAAGACCAAGGTAAAAAGCAACACAATTAAAAGGCAGCTGTAGACCATTAAAAGGTGAAGCAAAAAACAAGGTGTTTAAGAAATAAGCAAAACGTGAAATGGCCTGATTGGTCTTGGATCAATTGGAAAGTGACAGATATTAGCACATATTTGAGGTATATGTGGATTCCTTAAGTTGTTTTAAGAGTCACAGACACTACGTCACTGCTCACATTATGGCAGTGTGCCCTGTGCGGTGGTTTGAATACTGATTGACAGGGGGTACAGTTCAGATTTTGAGACAATGGGAAAACGTAGAACACTTGACCTGTCCTTTTTGTAGGAGTACGGCAGTCCAACATCTAAGAGCTTGTAAATGAAAATGGGAACATAGATTTTTTTATGTTTGTTTGGAGAAGGATGAAGACAGGTTCCATGGTAAAAGATTCCAGAATGTGATCTTCCACCTTCCAAGCATTCATGTAGCCGCGTCAGTCTGCTGCAGCAAGGAAAGACAATGACAGAATTCCTATCTGTGATTTTCCATTTGGCAGAGGAGAAGCCCCAGGATTACAAATATTATCTTCGAATGTGGGCCAAGGAAAGGGAACCCAAGAAAGAGACTATTAAAGATCTGCCCAAGATGAACCAGGTAGAAAATGGAAAGAAACATATGAGTTATAATAAGTACTTTTCAAATTTTCTACATTAACAAAAACTATTTTTATTATATTCTAAATGCATCCAAAGTTCTCTTTTCCTGTATCAGTTCCCCTTCAAAATAAAATACATTTTTCAAAGAGAAGTGCATATATTCAAATTGATTTCATGTCAAGTAGCTCTTAAGGTTTACAACAAATGAAAAGGTCAATTCAAATTACTTTAAGTACACTTGAAATATTACTCTGGACCTTAGAGACATAAATCTGCATAGCAGCAGTCTTACAAAGATAAATTAAAACGCATAGAACAATTATTGAGACCTCTGCCAATATTATTGCTGGAACATTTTTTAAATGGTATGAAGCCATCTAAGGTAGACCATATGAGTGTGACATTATGTTTTCTACACCTTGTTCAAGGGTACTAAAGGTTTACCTGTAGCTGTTTGTTTATTTCAAATCTCTCTGCCCACTACAGGAGCAGTTTATTGAGCTCTGCAAAACCCTCTACAATATGTTCAGCGAAGACTCATGTGAACAGGAGCTGTATCATTCCATTGCTACAGTGGCCAGCCTCCTGCTGCAAATAGGAGAGGTTGGCAAGAAGTTCTCCAGCAATGGGGGGAAAAAACCCGAACACAATGATGTCGCAGGCCCGGTCTCAGACATGCCTGAAGAGGAGAGGCCAGCGGAAAGCCCAGGAGGGAATCCCAAAGAGGCTCAGGTCTCCCAGGCTGCTGAAGAACCGGCAGAGGTACCCCAGTTGCCGGCTTCAGATGAAGATACCAAAGATGACACCTCTGTGTCTTCGTACTCCATGGTAAGCGCAGGCTCCCTGCAGTGTGAAGACATCTCCGATGACACAGTGCTGATTGGCTGCGGAGATCAGCGCAGGGGCAGCAGCCTGGATGGGGATTGGTCCATCTCGTTTGAGCAAATCTTAGCCTCCATCCTGACCGAATCCCCCCTGGTGGATTACTTTGAGAAAAAGGTGGACATTAGAGCTAAGATGGCAGCTTGCAAGGCCCAGCGGACAGTGGAGAGGCAGGTTAGCTCCTCCAGTGAATGTGAGCTACCCCTGCTCTCGGGCTGATGATTTGATTAATCTGTCACGGATATCGCTGATGCATTAACCACCTTCCACATTCCCCTTTTTGGTTCAGACGGCCTTGGAACACCCAGAGTTTGGGATAACCGCTAAACCTGGGATATGCTCGTATTACTCCTGATTCCAGTTACACCTACTGGCTTTATTAGGATTTTTGTTTATTTTGTTTGTTTTTTTTAAAAACATATGTATAAAAATTTCTTCAGAAACAATTTAATATTAGTTTGACTTTCATGATTTGCACATTATCTAATTGCCAGAATCCACAGTTACACACTGAACAGTATTTTCAATGCATCTTGTTCTCATGTTCCTAAAACTGAGAATATTGGTGGAATTACGCTTGTGTCATACCAAAGGTATTATTCGATAAGTATGTTAATTTTAAAGGTTTACAAATAACAGGATGTAAGAAAAAAGGCTTTGCATATTAAACCTACAAATATATGCGTAAATATGAAAAATGTACACACATGTACAGCACCCCATGTGAAGCTGGATTTCAGTCACTTGAGAAAAGCATATTTTAGACTCTGAAGATACAAAAGATCACATTTAAATATCTCGTTTTGTACCACACCTGGGGCAGAGGCATGCAGAAAAGCTCTGAGAACGTGTTAGTATTCCAGCAGAGGTTAAAGAAAAGCACGAAGCTGCTATAGTGATTTCAGTCATGAGCAACAGCTTAATGTTGTCTACAGGCAAATCTAATATCGATCATTTTAAACTTATTTTAATCAAATAAAACTACCTCTGATAGTCTCTAATGTTGGTTAGTTTGTTTTTTTCTTCATTCTCTGCTTAGTTTTTTTCCCTGATAAATGATAGCCCAACATACAGTAAATGTAACGTCACTTGCCTTTTATTGTCTAAAGATCTAGCCTTAACTGATGTACTTATTTTATTATCAGATTTACTGTGATTGATTGACTGTGTGGAAAGAAGGAAGAACTATTTTAGCAAGACTGTTGTTAAGTAGATAGGTAAAAATATTTGGATTTGTGGTCTTCTATCAGACAGCCCTTTGCTGGATTATCTTTAAGACAAGGTAAATTGAATGCAAGGAACATCATTATTGTGATGTGCTCGGCATCAGGTGTTTCAGGATTCTCATGTATTTGGGTCTGATGTGCATTTTAATCACTGGGAGATCAATTTGATTTTATCATTTAACGTGTATTATAAAACATACACTTTAATATGAGCTGTTTTGCCTTAGAATCAATTGACCTGGAATTAATGCTGCTTCCAAGCCTTAAAACTGTTTAAATTGCTCTGATTAAATATCCAACTGTGACCTGGAATTATAAGGTACCGGCAAGACTTTTATCTTCAGATAATTTGTTTAAAGATGGAATTGCCATTGTAGAACAGTTTGCAATATTGCATAATTTCCATATTAAAACCTAACCAATTACATAGAGTTCCACATGGAATACTCACGTGATTAATGTTTACCTTTAGAAACACTGTGAATCACAGCCCAAATATACATCAAGGTCCTAAGGTGTTACTGCCACAACTGGGAGCTTATTTTCTGACTGTGCATGATCTACATTTAAATGACTATCAGAATAATATATAAATGTTTTCAGTTTTGCAAACCGCATTTCATGCTGCTTTACAATAGTAGTCGGAAAACTGTAGAGTTTGTACTTCCTTAAATTCCATAGTGTGATCCAACATTAACATAGTCTCTTGGTTAAGAGAGTTTGCACAATAGAGAACTGGAGTTCAGTGTTATAATTACTTTGTCTAGTTTGAATGTATGAGCTGTAGATGTCATAAGCTATGAATTACTATCCATAATAGTTTCCTTAATTATATTATGAATTCTTAAGCATTATTCAAATCTCAGTGTTTTTTTTTTTCTAATTGCAATATGGAGTTTTGTTTCACTTCCGTTCATGCTGTAATTTCTTTATAGAGTAGGAAATCTTAGGAAACAATTTCAAGGTACTTCACTGTACTTTTTAAGCGACACACCCATGTTTATGTACATTTTTCATTTAAAAAATAAAAAAGCCTTAGGTATTCGATAAGTGTGAATGTTTTAGCTGGGACTTGAGAACACAGATTTTGAATTTGTATAGCATCGATGTTTGCTTTATTTTGATGTTCATGATATTCATGGTCACGGAGTAATAGGCGTTACGTAATTTGCTTCTTTCATGCTCATGCAGGTCTTGTCAATAGATGCAGAAAAACATGTACAAAGTTGAAGGGGCTTTAGAAATAAAGCATAACATGTCCACTTCTGTTTGCAGCTGTAGAAGTGCATATATCCCTGATACTGTAGATAGTTCAGCAGGTGTTTTTTATGATGCATAGTTCTTCTTTTCATGTTGGCATATTCAATGCAAAGGTAGTTATGGAATTTCTTGAAGATCCCGGAACTATTGTATTTATAACTCCAAGAGCAGAATTTTGCACTTGATCTACAAAGCCAGATAATGCAGAATAATGTGTCTGTGAGTGCTGGTCATCTATCATGTTTTAATTTCTTTACTACTTGTCTTTGTGTGCACCATTTATTTTATTACCATTTATGACCAATCACATAGAATGGGACCTATTTTATACTGCACTCCTTTCTCATAAATTTTAACAGTTTTTAATTATTACATGAAAATATCATAAACAAGGTTTACTCATACACTTTCACTTTCAACTATATTACTAATGTATACACAAATCAACATGAAAATTATTCAGATTTAAAAGACACTAATGAAAAAAAATGCCTGTGGGCAGAAACTATTCCTGATTTTTTTTTTCTTTTAAACTGCATCTGTTTTTATTGCAACTATTCCCTTTTGGCTATGTAACCTCAGGCTTTGCTAGATGTGCTGTTTGTCCTACATTACTTCTCTAATTTATTATTTATTTACATGCATCTGTTTAGTGCTGACCTGGGGTTTTTAATTGTCCTTGAAAAGACTGTACTGTACAGTATGTCTGATGTATCTATGATCATGTAATAAAAGCGCTGAATTAAAACTAACTTTTTCTGCCATTTTTAAGCTAGGTTTGTGTCTTGAAGTATCCTCATTATGACTGTATCTGAAAGTAGCATGCATCAAATCATGTATAACTAAGTACAGCAAAGGAACAAGTAATAGGTTTATTCCATGCTGAAAAAAAGAAGAAAGAAAACAGTAACTAAGTACTGTCTTTTAGCAATGAGCCTTAACCATGTTAAGCATTCCTCCTTATGTAGTTCAGGTGGGTAGCTGCGTCAGCATGCGTAGGCTGCAAAGGAACAAGTAATAGGTTTATTCCATGCTGAAAAGAAAATAAAGAAAACACAATGTTTGGCCGTGGAGCCTTCTTTAAGTGTGAGACCTGATTATTCATATATTCTATATTCCTCCTTATGATTTGGTGTTAACACAAATGACATAAGTAGCTTGAAGGCATTTACATTTCGGGAACAGGTTGCATGTGTTTGGAAAAAAAATGTAGTTCTGACATCAAATAGAGCCAACTACCCAATAAGGAACTAGATGTTCTAGCTAGGTAACTAACTCACTTTCAATCTCTGCACCAGAGACCCTTCCAAATCTAGATGCCCAACCCAGCACCACTACAACTGTATAACAACAGACAGCTGTGCCAACCACAGTGTCAGGTCCCTTCACTGTCAAGGCAATGGTTATCATCACTGGTGTTAAAGATGACCCAGGACTGCAGCTTGACCAAGCCAAATCGGAACTGAAGGGAGAGGAAAGTATCTTGGGGGAAAAATGCAACAGAAGTGCAGCCTATAGAGAATGAGGGAAATTGCAAGTGTAAAAAAGAATATGCTTTGCTTATGATTCTGCTGTTTTAAGGTGAGTTTGATGTATAAACACAAGGAAGGTTACAGATGGGAAGAGGCTACTCTATAAGGTCTATCTAGCTCAGTATGTTGCTAGTATCTATGGAAGTGGTCTAAAGATACAGATCTCTTGACAGAAGTCAGGATATCAGCTTTAACAACATGATTGGCCTACCTCGTTCCATGTTCCCACAACTACAGTTCGTGCAAGAAAGCTTCCTGTTCTTCTTTTCAAATGAACTTGCCCGAATCACAGCTGATTCTGAAAAGGTCCATTGGATTCTCAGAGACTTTGAGGATTTTGAATATACTGTGTGAATCACGGCCCCTAATAGTTATTTTTTTTTTCAGAACTAAAAAGATTAGTTGTTTTACGCTGCTGGAGTAAGACATTCTTTTAAGCCCAAGAATCTACTTAAGCATACTTATTCAGCTGAGTCTGTTTTCTCCTGTTTTCTCATTAGTTCCTAATGGCTGACCTGCGTGAGTGCAGTCCAACCATGCGACCTTTAGCTCACTGGTAGGGGGTGCCGCAAGATTTCACGGCTTTTCTAACCTGGTTGAAATACAGTAATGTAGTCTCAGCAGGGCCAGCAGGTGGCAGTAACATTCCTGCTCTTCAAACAGACCGTCACCCAAACGCTGATTTGATTTTCGACTACAGTATAATGTTGTAGAAAAAAATAGAATCAACAGACCAGCTTCGTTGTAGTAAATAGAAAGCCGATAATGACAGAAACAGTGAAATTACATAAAAAAGATTTCATTCTTGCAGGATCGAATTCGATCTACCTGGCTGATTTTTTTTACAATGTTTTATCGAAACATTGCATTGTACAAAGGAGAAAAGGTATCCACAAAGAACAAGCGAACAGAAGAAAAATATAAAACAATATGTTGACAAAGGGAGTAACAGATCTTAACACTTAGCTTGTTTACATCCATCAGTTGTGTTTTGCCTTGCCAATTTTCATGTTTTAATGGAGTTTAGTTAATATTGCATTTCCACCTTTTAAGCATTAAAGCAGGGTGTAACGTTTAACCATTTTGTTTAGTGAATTTGGTACAGTATCTACCCAGTATTACCAACAGATTAATTATAAGTAAGTGTTCTATTTCCACATTATACTTGGCAAAATTTGACTTAATATCAAATTCCTTTCTCTTTAAACACTTAAAGAGAAAGTCTTGCAAGTCTACATAACTGTGTATAAACAGGTGACAACGTGATAGACCTGGGACGCCTAAATCAGCCAATCCTCGCTGGGGTGACGTAGAGGGAAGTGACGTTTTTCAAATTAGCTTGCCGGGAAAAGAAGGCGTAGTCTTTTTCTTCCTACTGTACGTTGGAGCTAGTTTTTTTTTACTGTAAGTGTAACAACGTGTATTGTGGAGTAAGCAAAGTCATGGTGCAGGAATTTCAGGTCCTGAGATGTTTCACATGCAAAACCTTCCAAGTCCATCAGGTAAATTTCATTTTGATAACAGTAATGACCTGTAACCGGTTTTCGATCACTATGCAATAGAAACTAGCTGTTGTTCGGAGATTTCTTCTAAAAGGGTTTTTTTTTTGTCTCGCGATGATTTCTGTCGTAGTATTATAATTATAAGCAACTATATGTATATTGTGTATAAGATAGGCACAATTGTCCTATACAATTCATTATGCCCTATATTGATTTTCTATAACTTCCTGCGGTTTTGTTGTTTGCTTAAGGTGAAAAAGAGCAATAAGTGGAACTGCAAAATGTGTGGAGAAAAACAGTCCCTAATGAAGGTATGGGAACTGTCAACTGTATGACACCAAGTGACAGGCAACATTAACTTAATACTCTACAATTCTCTAATGTAAATAGACACAGTTGACCTTGCATGTTTCTGTCAGAACTGGGTTACTTGTTTTCTTGGACTGCAAAAGTACACAAGCACATACAGTACTCTTGAAATACCTTAGAAATGCTGTGCTTTCCTTTGCAGAATGTTGTATTTTCTTCCTAGTTTGGCATTCCAAAGCAGTCCTTGAAAAAGCTTTCCAATCACACGGTAACCTGGACAACTCTTAAACATTTAGATTCATAAATTGTCAGGAAATGTTTATTTTGTACCATATTCCTAAGCAGACTACAGAAAACACTAATAAGTAATGCTCCTCAGAAGAGTTTACTATGTAATTCACTGTTGTTTGTTTACAGATATATGGACAGGGCTCTGGTGCTGACTGCAGGCGCCATGTTCAAAAACTCAATGCAATGCGTGGAGAAATAATACAAGCAGAAGAAGATCATGCATGGTATGCCTGTTTGAATGATTTTTACATTCCACAGTTTTGCCCACAGATGTTTATGGAGAAAATTCTTTACCTCCTGGATTTTGCTTAAGAAACTCGACATTCGTACTGAATTCTATTGTACTGTATACCTGAGTGGGGGGATTACATGTGAGGAACTGAGAATTGCATCAAATATACTACTAATTATATCCATCTTAACCTTTTTGAGGAAAAATGTAATTCCTTATTAAAAGAAATGGATGTTTCATTTGTTCAAATGTTACACAGTTTCTAAATGCTTAAAAATGCATAAAGATTTCATTTTCTAACAGAGAAATTGGTTTAAATTAACAGATACTCCTTGTCAAGTCGGTGACCTGATATAAAGGGGACTGTGAAGATTCTACTGGAAAATTATTGCATTTTTTAGCAGAATTAATAATAATGGTAGTACAGTATTTGAAGGTTATCCCATTATCATTATCTTTTAATTTATCACATTTTCAGGGTTGACAAATGCAATGAGTTGTAATTTAATTAATTAGCCCATAATATACATTGATGTTTACCCAAAGCTAGCATATAGCAGTGACTTGTAGTTTTGTGAATACTTCATGTGTTCATAAAAATATAAATCTTTGTATTTATTGTGTATTGTGTTTATTCAACAGTGAGCAAGCTAGGTTTTCAGAAGACATTCAGTCACAAGATGAAAATTTGAGCATTGCAGTTGAACCGGTACGACTACATTTTTTATCCTTCACACACAATCACCAGAATTGAAAAGAAGGATATATTGCAGGTTTTTAGTTGTCTAAAAATGTCTTAGATTAACAACATCAAACAAATAAAACAACTGACTAAGAATATAGCTTATATAATATGGCATATAAACTATATGACTGAATTAAATGTTAAATATAAGTAAACAAGTTCAGGATAATTGCTAATCTATATTAGATCTATAGAACTGCACCTCATAGTTTCAAGGATAACTAACATAACTTCAAGGACTGTCCCATGAGCTCCTTAGAGTATTTAAAACTTGTAACAGATATATTATCTTTAACAATGTTAAGTATAGATGACAGATGTCCAAATGGTTTTTTAATTGATTTGCCTTTCTGTAGACGAAGGGATCTTTGGATGCTGCATTAAAACTTATCTTTAATTGTAACTACACAGCCAAATATATGTACTGTATAATTTACCTTTAGATTTGGGATTTGTATTCCCATAGAATGTGGAAGCAGAAAAAGAAGCCAGTTGCTGGAGCAACTATCTGCAGGACAGTACTGAGGAGTCGAGAGAAGAGACAACGAGGAGTGAAGAGGATAATCTGTACACTGACAGTAGCTGCTTTAATGTACAGAATGTCATCAATAAGACTTCAAGGTATTGTAGTTGGATTTCTTACTGTAACATGAGTAACAGTAAAGTCTAGTGCCTTTGAGAATATAACTTTTGGGGAAAAAGCTAGTATTAAATAATTATTCTGTGTTGATATATGGTTCTTAAAGGAAGGCTATGTGTTATACACCTTCAGTACTTTGATCACCTAATTATTGTTCTTTCTCCATAAAGTGTTAGAATGTTAACTTAGGGCAAACCTCTTGCACATGAACCTTAAACAGATGTCAATCATATCCATCTATTGCAGAGACTGATATATGCAGTTACCCTTTGTTTTAGGGTATCAGTCTATAAAAAGCACAAAGTAAGATATTTCATGGGCCAGAAAGACACTATCAAGATTATATATTTATAGTTTTATTTGTCTCCCAGCATTCTCTTATAAAATCACAAAGATCAGCTTTTCTTTCTTGCGGCTGTTACCACTATTAGAACACCTATTGTAAGATCAGAGAGTAATACATAACATAACAAATATGTTGCAGTGGGGTTTATTCTGTCACACCCAGTTTGAGTTGGCCAGTTGTACTCTCTCAGTGTTGTTTCCATCATCCAGTATAACTACACATTTAGAATAATCTTATCAGCATTTGTTGACCATTAACCATTATTTGGTAATAACAGGAAACGTAAGAAGAGCTGGGATTCTGCCAATACACCAACTAAGGAATTTACAAATCATGTCTTCTATGAAGGCGTCTGGAAAAAATGCAGTGATCAAGAGGTAAATAAAGATGATACACACCCAACTCTATAGAAAACTGTGCATGTAGATGTGCAATTATACAAGCGTTGAGTTAGTGGCAGATATTAACATTGGTACACTACATCCTAATTGTAAATATGACGAACTAGTACTCCGTAACCCTAGGAGAGATATTGTTAAAAAAAACTAAAAATGACCATTAATAAGTTAGCAAATTACCTTGCTTGCTATGGTGGGAGCCAGTAATTATTTTAGCAGCTGCATGAATAGTGTTTTGTTTTAACTTCCCTCCCATTAGAGATGATATATACATATATTATGAGCATTAATAGGTTATTGTGTGTCCTGTGATAACAGAAGAATGAGAAGCCAATGATGGATGAGAGAAGAAGTTTGACTTTAATAAATAGAAATTCAAAACTCCTGGAATCATCAACAACAGGTTCTCCTGGTGCCTCAGCTGCCAAGAGAGTCTCTACAGCAATTAAGGCTTCATCTAACCCTGGATACAACGCAAAGCACTCTGAGCTCAAGGCTTTGAAATGGGATAAGTACCTTTCTTTTCCTTCAGAAGATAAAAAGGAGAAAAGAGACTTTCAGGGGCAGAGAGAAAGGGAAATTACTGTTACCACGGATGCGAGGCTGGAAGGTGATATATTTTCTATTGTTAAATCCATTGCTGATGACAGTTATGAAGACAGGAGATGTTACAAAGTCCAAGAAGTTCATTGTGAAAATAAGACACATCAAATATCTACAGTACAGAATCAATGTTTATTTCCTGAAACTGTGCCCGAGACTGTAACTTCATCCATCATGTACCAGAATGCCACAGAGATTCGTACTCTGTCAGCAAAAACAGGCGATTGGCACAGCAACTTTGAATTAAATTTAGAAAGCTCCGATTGTGCTAGTGAATCCCAACTTTGCCAAGATCCATTATTTCCATCCTCTACTATTAATGGTAAGATAAATCCAGCTCGAAAACAATATTCTTCCATGTCGTCTCTCTTCCAGACAGATGAGGACTTTGATGATTTTTTGTAGCCTTCAGTCAAGCCTCTGTGGTAATTTCAAATGATATTCAAAGTTTTTTTTCCCCCCTTCTTACTGTACACTATTCTCCTAACTGGATGTACATAGATTAAACGATTACTTGCTTGATTGTGGAATTAGGTCTTAGAAGGCAAATATCTCAAATGTGTAAATGTGGATTAATTTGTTTAATAACTTGGAATAACAGTTCTGTTGTTAACCATTTTTACTTATGACCTTTAGTGCATATTCAGATAACAATCACAGAAGCTTCATTACTTATTTTAAACTGCTGTTGCAGAATGTATGATTAATTAAATGTATATTAAAATACATGTGTAAAAATAGTCCTTGGTGCGTTCATGTCCACGATAGAACGGAGTGAAATTACAAAGCATTTCCTAAAAAAATATTTTCATAAAAAAAAAAAATGCACAGACATTTTGCTGCATAAGCAATTTATTTTGCCGAAAGCTAGGACAGATATAAATTTAAGACTGTTAAACAATCAAGCTGTAATAAATCAGAACCTCCATCTCATTTTGTCACAATTCAGCAAATACTTCATGAACATCACTGGCAATAATATTTCACATCTCTGAAACCAGAACCTAAACTATTATAGTAAGATCATTTCAGTTGGCTACACAGTCATAAATTAGGATAACATGTTGTACAAGCAATTCTTGTTTTTAACTAAATGTTACGTTATCTGTACTTTTTCATTTTTCTAAGGTAGAGGGAAGTTAAAAAAAATGTAGGGTGATTGGGCCATAAACAAAAAATAATAAACGTTCTTTGTATATATTGCTACCAGTTCTTTCAGAAAGTTGGGACATTTAAAATAAAATCAAATTTGGAAATCAGATGGGTTACTTAAGATGACAGAATCCCACGGATGCTAAAATGGTCTGGTATTTCCTGCCAAAGTCGGAAAAGGGTCAGAATAAAAGACATTACAACATCTCTCCCAAAACGGCGGGTAGGCTGTCTAGCACTCTAGGATATTTTCCTAGTTGTTACATTTTTAAAACTTCAGCCCTACTGTACGTGCAAGAAGTGATCTGGAGACTTTGTATTATTGTCAGTGATGCCTGCTGAAGTTTAACAGGAAAGCGAAAGGTAGGAACTGCCATTGCTCTGCTGGGGTGTCATGTTGAAAGTCTACTTCTTTGGTGGTGCGGAAGGCTTGGAGAAATGGATGGCATCCATTGCCGCACCAATGTCAAAGTTCTTGGTGTGAAGGAGACGAGTGAGCCATCCACCTTCATCTGTGAAACCCATGGACAGCATCTGAGCCAGGGACTCCACCAAGCGCGGGTCTGCATCTGCACAAGAAACAAGACCGTCTTAACTCTTGGCTGCAGTTGAGGATTCCCCAACAGTTGTACATGAAAACAAAGATCTGGCTTGAAGAGGTTTTTTGTAAGTGCTCCAATATGGAACTAAAAGAATTATTAATAATTTAAAAGTTGGTAGATATTATGGATCCAATTATTTCTTTATATCCAAGTGCAGTTAATACTAGTGAGCTCAATGGAGCATGTTTTTAGCTTTTGTTGTAAATACGTCCAGAATTAAAGTTGGAGGATACATACACATGACCAACTCCAGCTATTTACCTTGGGGAAGATGTGGGTACAAGGCTGCCTCTCTCAGACCAGTAGGACCTTGTGCAGAAGCACTAAGGGGACTGGGCCCCGCAAATCCCTCCTCCAGCCTGAAGGACTGCAGCTCCCCTGTTGAGGGGTCAACTTCTTTTGGGGAGAGATGGGTCCACTCCTCATCACTGGTTGTTTCTTTTTGCCCCTATTGGATGTGAAAATTAAATTGGTAAATTAATTACTAATCAGTAGAAGAAACTACTCGGTTATTCAAACTGCCGCAACAGAAGAAGAAAAATAGCAGGATTTTGCATGAAGTCTCATTATCGGAATCGTGACCATGATCATTACATCTGTAACAGGTTTCTGGGGTGGAGACAGACGCATATGGTATAAAACCTGTACCTTTGCCCCACTGTTGGTGGCTTGCAGGTTACTTTGCCCATCAGTTGGCTGCTCACTGTCCATTGGTTCAACACCACTCGGCTGGCTGTCCTCTCTTATTTTTCCAGCCTGGGTACTGGACATGTCTCCAGAAGCAGGCTGGGTTGGGTTCACTTTGGTCCTTGATCCTCTGTGCTCCACATCAATGTCTACATCAATGCCTGCAGAGAACATTTGGACTGGTCAAAAGAAGGATTCGACATGTCCTTTGTTGTCATGTAGTATCAGTTAAGTGGACCATAGCTGTAATCATTTATAGCAGTGCTCTTTTTAGATTTAGCACATTCCTTATACAAAAACAGATTTACCCAGTGGACTCAGCATGGCTGCCACACCCTCCCCAATGTTTTTCAGATAATCCACACTATCCTGGTGCACAGAAGTTTGACCTGTAAAGAAAGACCACAATGATTTAAAGCAAATCCATTTTTAAGACCTGACAATTCAGTCTTTGGTTCTTCATTTTATAGAAAGCTGCATGGCTTAAAGACCATATGATATCTTGCTTGTTCAAAGTTAAAAAAGTTTGGAAATATGAAGATAAGAAGATTGAGAAGTCGAGTCTATTTTTGAAGTAGGCATGAGCTAAGCAAGTTTGTCAAGCCCTCTACAGCTAGGGGGCGCTCCTATTGTGTCCTGTTCCTAGTTTCCCTGTGCTTTGCTTGTCCTTCCGGTGTGTCTTTGTGTGGGGCTATATATTTCCGGGTCACCCTTTCCTCCTCACTCAGCATTGAGGGTTCGGATGTCTTGAGACCCACCTACCAATAGGTCATTTCCTCAGCAGCCTGAGGGCATAGGTTTCTACCCGACATCGTCTGACCTCCTGAGCCCGGGCTAACCCCAGTTTTGCCACTATGCATAGGGTCTCTTTTGCTCTTCTGGCCATTCCACAGCATGCCTTTTCCGACATCCGTGACAAAGCTACTTTTTGTTCATTAGCTTACATGAAGGCAGAAGAGTGGTAAAAAGGATGTGAGGAGCTGTAGGCTAGGGACTGCTCACCTGCTTCTTCCTGGGTGTTCTGCGGATCAGGCTGGGGCGTAGGCTGGGGCCCAGCCTGGCTGGCTTGGGGCCTGTTCTGGGCTCCAGCCCACATGCAGTGGGGGAAGCCATGTCTCATCTTGCGCATCCACTTCCCGCGCGGGTACCACTAGGGGGAAAAAAAAAAAAGATTAAACTACCGAACCAGGCCTAAGAGTGTACATTTTCTTTTTTTACACAAATTATATTGAGGTTTTACGAAACCCTCCAAACAGTTCACAAATACAAAACAGCAATATGAGGTTATGAAGAAAAAGCAGTTCAGACAATTTTGCAGTTTAGCCATACAGGCAGATCCAGTTAGAACCAGAGTAGAAAAGTGACATTTCAGGAAGGTTCGGCATAGTTTAGAACTGTAAAAAACAACTTCTGTCACACCAAGGGGGAAACATGCACATATATAATGCATATAAAGCAGTTATATCATAGCACAAAACTTAATTAAACCTTGAATTTTGCTAAAACAAGTAATGGAACTATTTGAAACCCAGAAGAGGATATGCAGCTGTGCTAGTCATCTGGACTGAATAGTCATTGTCTAAAAACAGGGATAATGTTTTTGTAAAGGAACAGCCGTCATAATGTTGATCTAGAACAAACAAGGTTTCCAAGAAGTGTTCGGTTCCGATCATGGCTCAGCCAGGCGTCTTACTTCAAACATGTTTTGCAGGGGAGCCCAGATGGGGAGCATGGGGTGCTCCTTGTGCTGCCCCTTGGCCTGGCAGGACGAGCACAGGTCGTAGTCGGGGCAGACGGTGCACTTGAAGCGCGTCCCAGCCACTGGGCCCTCGCAGCCGTCGCAGGTCACGTTGGGGTGCACGGCGTTATGGGAGGGGGGAGGGGATTGGAAGGAGAAGGGGAAAGGGAAGGGGCGATCAGGACCCTGGAATCCATGGGGGTGAAAGTCCCGCTTGCACTCCTTCTTCTCTGTGGGGTGAAGGGGGGAAAAAAAACCCACGGTCATGAGCACAGGAGATTTCTGATTATCTGTCCCTAAAAATGGATACTGCAGCATGTTTCACAGAAAAAGTGTGGCACAGGATACATGTCTATTTAACAGTTAAAAGCTAGGAGTGGAGCCACCACCTTTAAATTAATTCAATAAACATTGCCTACTTCCCCAATCGTTAAATTTCACATTACCTCCAAGTGGTAAAAGTATTCGTGTTCATGGATTTTGCTCAATATTAAAAAAAAAAACTGGCTTAGTTTTGTGATAGAGCAAACTTTGAAGTCATTGTTTAAACACATTTAGTCGGTCCCCTAAGAACTGTAAATGATTCACCCAGGGTAAACAACTTGCCTTTAATGAAGACTCGAAAAGTATCGTCCTTTATACAAGCAAGTCCCATCATCAGTTCATCATCAGAGGAGAAAGCAATCAAGTCGCCATCCTCATCTGTTGGGGAAAAAAAGTGTCAGTTAGCAGGGTTTAATTTACAGACAATTAGTCATTTACTCAGGGAACAAAAAGGAGATGCTATGGAAAGTTTTACCTTAACTGCAATCAAGCTCAACTGAAGTATTCCAGTCTCTACTAATGAGGTGTTTTCGACGTCTCGGTAACATTCCCACGAGCCTTACTGCTGTACTTAGGAGTTTCAGTAACGCATTTGGATTAAATAATGCATTGTTTTCATTGGGCAACAGGGCGTTAAGAACATGATCACCAAACTGACACATCAGACATTGGTCTTGACGAACCATGGGAGTGTTATTTAATACGGCTCGTATCAACTGCTGCTAAGGGGTATTCCTTAACATATCAAACAGAAAACCTTTGTTTTGTAAAACTTTAACGGGAGGGAAGTGATAGAATTTAGATGAAGTCATTTTGTGAACGTTCTCAATTCCATTCTTCCAGATATTAGGAAAAAAAAAAAAACAACAATAAACCGACATGAATACACGGAAGTCTACCAAAGGAAAACGTTGATAAGCAGTGGGAATTGGATAGGACTGACAGTCCCATCTTACTGCGTGTACAGTAGACTGCAGAATACAATGAACCTATATCTCGGCGTCATGAAGTCACAGAACGATATTCAATGTTTAGTAGCCAAGGATTAACATCCGTTTTAAGTGTTAATTTTGTTTCTCTGTAGCTCATTAAGCGATAGCCCTTGCCATCACAGATATCTGTACCACATTATTCAGGTTACAGTAATTAATAACCCTTCTCTCTTCACCTGACGTATTAAAAATAACGACGTTAAAGCCGCTTCCAATGTCACGCGCAACGCGATTTTGTTACACAATCCAACAATAAGTCCATAAAACACTGATAAAGGTCAACGCAACAAACTGAAACATCCGACAATCTTGTAATAAATATCCTTGCCATTTTCTGCGAGTTCTATAAGTGAGTGCGTCACAATGACTGCACAGCACAACCCACAATGTACAATTTGCATAACTCACTTTGCCATCAGGCTACATTATAAACAAAAGGCCCTCGTGATGTAACAAAGTAGCTTGCTTCTCCCAGCTGACCTATACAAATTCACAGCTGCACTTAGTAGCAAGTTTAATTGTGACATCTCATCAAACAGGTTGAAGTTCTCGTTTTTTTCCCCAAAGTTTCTTACCTTTATAGTACATCTGGAAAGTGGCATTCCTGAGGCTTTGGAAAACCTCGGCCACTTTTCGAGTTAAGTACTCAAAGCTGCTGGACACTTCTTGATCGACGGCGAACCTGCGGATCTCCTTGTGGATATCCTCCTTCCCAAGGAGATAGGCTTTCACTGTCATCGACATGGTTACCTCTTCTTTTCGATCTTCACCTGACCAGCTCCGACGAGAACCCGTGAACCTTATTGCGCACTTGAATAAACCAGCTACTGTACTTCTGCAGCTTTCTAGTCTGCTGTGTTGTAGTTCCGCCTCCTTGCTAGTATTTATGCTGTACCCCAGCCAATCAGCATTTCTTCAGGGGTTGTGCATCCTAAAAAATTAAAAGGGTGTTGCTATGAGAATAGGGGGAAATCCAGCTGTCTGGTAAAAAAACGCACTTTTTTTCTTCGCGTTTACTAACAAGCCAGTCTTTAGCAAAGTAAACAGAATGGAGCCCTATTCAAAGTGGGTTGTTGAAGGTCGAAGAATGACAAAGCACTTTTTTACAGTGACATCCCAGCGCGGGAAAACAGAATGGAAATATCAGCTTCTGTAAAACAGAAAATATTCAGTATAAAAAAAAGGAACTGTAATACGAGAAAGAAATGATCCTACTACTGAGGTACATGCAATACATGAAAATACATGTTAGAATACGAGTTAAAAGCAAGACATGAGTGAATTATCAATTACATTAGTTATGTATCATCTAGTGGTTCTAAAAACTAAACTCAAGATTTTCGCGGGAACACAGAAAAGACTGGAAATATTAATTTCAGGGAGCAAAATTCAGAGCCAGTAATGTTTTTAATTCATAAATGGAAATACTTTTTTAGAATTGTATCAATTTCAGTATTAGAAACAACACTGGTTTGTACAGAAGTCAGTATAAAGCGGGCATCCCTGACGAAACCTATTTTCCTTCCACCTACATAAATGTTTTAGAAAGCCTGTTAAACTTCACTTGAAGGTACCTCGTTATCTTAAGAAATGTGACTTAAAGTAAATCATAACCAGTCATTTTCACTATGAGAGAGACTAGGGGGACCGTCTTCACATTATCTAATAACCTCTGTTTATCAGGCAAGATGGCAATCTGCAAGTCAGCATGAAGTAAGAGATCCACCTCAATGTCTTTCCTGCGCGTTGGCGAGGTACAGAACCTGCCACCCTCTCATGTTGAAGATGAGTCACTGGAAATTGGCACAAACTTGTGTTTTGGAACATTTTTGTTCAACACATATTGAACAGCCTTTTTAACAGCCGTGGCTGTGTGTATGTACTCTTCTATGAGTATCGGCTGTTTGCCTAGACTATGCAGGAGCCTTATCAAGGCCTGGCAGAATCGACAACTTTGTCTCACCGCGGGTTTCAAACTCAAGTACTGGAGGGCGAGAGAGAAGAAGCCGCACAGAAGCCTGCCATCAGGTCCTGAGTTTGTAACCAGGTGGTGGACAACCCTGGCCCTAGTAATTAACCCCGTAGGTTTTTGAAGACGTGCAACACGTTTACGGTCAGATCAGTTTAACACGTTGCGTCAGTCAGGTTCTGTATTAGCTCATTCACCGCATGGAACTGTTCTGTGCAGCTTTTCAAGCAACAGTTACGGCGAATGAGCAGCAAATTAATTGGTGATGCCGAGTCAGAAATGACTGACTGTGGTCCTTGAGAGCTACAAAATGTTGGTGTTTTCTATTTCAAAAAATGAAATTACATTGTGGTGGCATGGTGGTTAGGACCACTTTTCTTACTGCTTTGGGTCTTAGGTTGGATTCCAGACAGGGGCATCTCCTCTATGGAGTATATATGCTCCTTTTCTGTTGTTGTTCTTCAGGTTCTCCATTTCTACCTTCTAAGGGCCTGTTGGCTAGGATAACTGGTTCGTGCAGTACAGTCTCACCTTGCACCTGGGATAGGCAACACAAAGATTCTGCCCCTTATAGAAAAAGGCATCTGCCTGATAATGGGTGATAACGGCTGAACACCTCACCTGCTACAGTAGTGAAAATTAACTTAATCCAACTTACTGGTTCAGAATTTGAGGATTTAAGATTGACCCATAAAACCTGATGAATTGTGCTTCGGGAAGCCAGTTCTGGTTTATAATTTCCAACCTGCAGTTGGGTTTAGTTTTCTTTTTTATTTGCTTATGGATCTTCCTTAAATTGAGAATAATAAAGTCCTGTGTAGAGAAACAAACAAGAGGTTGCATCAGGTAGCATAAAAGCATGTGATGCTGATAAGCTTATAAATCGGTTAACAAAGCTATACTATAAAATGCTGCATCACCATGAGAGCCTAGGCCTTGATTTGCCCCTTTACCTGAAAATGACGAAAGAGAGTGAAAGTTGCTATGAATTATTGTATGTCGCAATACCCCCCTTCGCCCCCCCCCTCTCTTCCCCCTCCTGAAGGAGTAACGTCACCTGACTATGACTCATCCGAATCATATGATTCTATTGCTATTCTCTTGTATCGCGTTTCCACCAGGACCTCCTATGAATCACTAAAGAAAAGATCACGAAAGTTCCAGAAGTTCATGCCAAACGACTTGTCATTGTCTCCTCTTTACTCCTATAAAGCAACGCAGTGTAAATTCAAGGCAGAGGTACTGTTGTCAAATGAAACAATGTCTAGACGCTAATATACAGCATTACAACATAAAAGTATTAGAATATGATGGCATTTAAATACAGCTTATTTGTTGTCATCCTTTCGGATTTAAATAAAAGAATCAAGGTTCCTTACATGAGTGTATGTCATTGACGTAGTAAAATCCATTATTGATAATCACAGTAATTTAGCTGTCGTATTTACCCAAAGCAATTTACAAAAAATAATTCCAATTTGTACAAAGAAGATTCAAAATTTCATCTATACCTTCAGAAGTACAATATAGTGATGTAATAAAGGTAAAATTACAATAGAGGACTACAAAATACAGGTACAATATAAGACACAGACTGAGTGACACAGGAGCACATTGTTTTCAGCCCTGGAACAGAGAGAACTATCCCTGTGTCTGCTTCTTTCTGAGCTCTTTCTTAATCAAGTTTATTGAACTGTTTTAGCAGTTTCTGCTCTTTAATAGGATGGGGTTAGAAGTTAGCTTGAATCCTGTGCCAGATACTGAATTTTCCTGCGCTATATAAGTGTAAGCAATTATTATTATTATTATTATTATTATTATTATTATTATCATTATTCTACATACTGTATATCAGACAAGAAGCGCTAATAAACAGCATTAAGACAGTGCACATAGAGCTAGGAATTCAGGTTAAGCAAAAAGGCAGCCCTAGGAAAGAGGCTGTACAAATACTGGGCGGTTCTGGTTTTAATTGACTGCTAGCAACTTACTTTTAAAAGAGACCTTAAAACCTCAGTACTGCAGACTCATTTTTCTTTTTCCACCTTAGTTATTGGTATGTTTATTGACTTCTCTTTTTAGTTTTGTCTTTTATGTGAAGCATATTGAAGTTCGCTGTAATGTAGTGTGTTATGTAAATTAAATGCATTGTTAACAACAACAACAGCAACAACAATAATAATTCATGCTCTAATGACCAGCTAGTGCAGTTCCTGCATCACTTCACCAACTTCCACCAGTCCCTCAAATATACAGTTAACATATCTTCCATCACTCTTCCATTTCTAGACATAAACCTATCCATTACCCATCACCGACTCTCTGCTTTGGTCTATTGCAAACCCACAGATTCACACAGCTATCTCCTGTATGGCTCATTTCACGCTTTCTTTTCCTGGCTGTGACGTCACTCCGTGACGTACAAAACAGCAAAGTCACGACTAGATCTTTCAGCTGTGATCTTTTGATCAGTTGACCCCAGACTTTGCAGCCTTTACACGAATAAACTGTCTTACATTTAGGGAGGAGTTAGTTCATTGGGTTAGGTGTTTTCTTTTAATTTTTAACCATGTTCTCGAAAATGTATTGCTTGTGTACTCCATGCATTGGTGAAGAGACCCCAGTTTCCATATTACCGCTGGTACAACACGAGAGCCCATATTCACATTTTTAGGTATTAGTTTCAAGATCGATATAATTTAACAATAAAAAACAAAATTTGAAGCACGAGCATAATAATATAATGATCATAGGCTTTACATCTCTATTCATTTTTAAGTACAAAGCAGGAGGTGTTTCCCCTACCTTAAATACACGATCAAATTGTACAAATACGATGTATTCATTACAGAAAGCAGCGGAGACAGTTATATTGCAAATACAAATGTATTTATTTCGAAGAGCACGGGACATTGTGAATCAATAAAGACGTTAAAAACCAAGCCGATGTAGTTACTTTGCAAATAAGTAAAGCATTTTAAAAATAGATTCTCATTGACAGTAAACAAGCCGATCCACCTGGCGCTGCTTCCTTGAACAGCTCTCAGACCCGTGATTGGCTAAACCCCCGAACAGCTCGGGCCGCGATTGGGTGAAGAGTGAGAATCGACACTCTGATTGGGTAAAGCGCCACCTGGAAGTACCGAGAACATGCAGATACACAGGTGATGGAGGTTCTTCTTGGTCCCAAATACTGTAGTCGTGCTTAACCGTGTGTGCTCTATGAGCACGCTGGATATACAGTAAGACATTCATTGGTTTCCAATTACTTATCAATCTAAGAGAAGTCGCACTGAGGTCAAAACTGAATAGCAGACAAAGAATGTCATGGCATTCACAGCGCGTTCACGACTCCAATAGCATGTCACGATAAGAGTGCTCGCATCACGATTACATCGCGATACCCATCACTGTCACGGTGCCACAGTCGCGACATTAAGTCCATATATCGCGATAGGACATACCCCGACAAAACGCCCCTGCCCCATGTCACGACATGGAGTCCATATATCGCGATATGAAAAATACACCCCGCCCCATGTCGCGACATGGAGCCCGCATATCGCGATATGGCGTACCCTGGCAAAAATGCCCCCACCCCATGTCGCGACATGAAAGGCCCTATATCGCGATATGACATACCCCCGAAAAAAAGCCCCGCCCACATGTCGCGACATGGAGCCCGCATATCGCGATATGACAAAACACCCCCGCCCCATGTCGCGACATGGAGCCCTCATATCGCGATATGGCGTACCCTGGCAAAAATGCCCTGTCCCATGTCACGACATGGAGTCCATATGTTGCAATAGGATACACCCTGGCAAGATATGTTGAACCCATGTCGCTACACAAGTCCATATATCGCGACACGACCTGTCTGGGTATATCATGTCCTGATATGAGACCTTTGTTGCGACAGCGGTGCCAGGGTGGCATGGAAGCAAGGCGCCAGTCGTGATATACACTGCCGCAATATAAATGGGGTCCCTATCATAACTTGTCGCGATGGTATCCCACAGCTATGGGCTTGGCAACAGCGTGTCACGGTAGGGAAAGAAAAGGAAAACGTGCCTTAGAAAATAAAAACCATTTATCTTACAATCACGGTGATTTTACATACATTACAAGCACAGGTTTATGTCACAGATGGTTAACGTGTTGGCATGCGTCATGTCTTAGTATTGTAGCGCTACGGGGTTCACGTGGGTATGCGCCCTCGCCGCTGCCGCCTGACGTCACCGCGCTGATAAGCCGGCTCTCACAGCCGATGGTGGCCGTATGCGTTACAATAGTATTAAATGCATCGCCCAAAGGGTAATATCGAGTGAGGCGCCATGAGAATAAAAACTGCGAAGGTATTAAAATATTAAGTTTATGCATTCCAAAACTTGTAATTTGTTTACAGTTGAAATTTTACGACCTCTTCGTGCTTAACTCCTACAGTTCGAGCAGGTATCGAGCTGCTACAAACACGTGCGTGTTCTAGAAACACTTGTATTTGGTAAGCCAGGCTGTACTCCTTAAAACCCAAGATGCCTGTAGCATTTCGTGTGTCTTGTTTGTTTCGGGACTGGTCTGGTCATCTACAGACGGCTTTCTGAAAAACGTATATGCATTTGTTACCCAAAAACCTAGCGCT